ATATCAGCTTTATTTATGTAGCATGGTTCAGAACATGGTGAAACTGAGTTTCTCTTCGGTATAACATAGCTCCCAAACTGCTGACAGTGCGTTCAGTGGACTCTCCTGAGTCATCTTCATGTCGACGTTTCTGTAAAGACAAGTTGCTGTGTGATTATCTTTAATGAATCTCTGAGCAGCACAAATGAACCTTTGTGGTTCTGGCTGCAGAGTCTTGGCAGCGATCTTTAAACCACAGCAAACCAAACTAGAACCTTCTGCAGAACTAAATATCACCAGGTGTCAGTGGTTCAACCGGCCGTTTAATACAAACTCCAACCAAAGGGACCGACCATCCTGCCTCTGCTGTGGTCATCAAACAGAGCCGTCCTCCTTAAATCTGCACTGCGTCTTGTTTGTGTGTTTATCAGATGAAGCCTGCAGGTCAGTGAACGCATCACTTTGGTTTGTTTTCACTGCAGACCTTTATTCTCATCTGATAGATATTCATAATGGAAATGATGTGAACTTTTCTAAGCTCCAAACACTAGAATCTAAATGTTTAAAACATTTTGCATGTGTCGCAGGCCGTTACTGTTAAATCTGATTTTACCGTTGGACACAAAGCATTTTAAAATGTTATTTAAAAGTTATAAAACACACTTTACTTTCCCACACCCGGTCCTGGTCTACAGGACCAGGTCTGCCATGCTCAGTCCCCAGGTCCTCCTCACACTGTTGACTCTTTTTGTCCTCCAGAGGTGGCTGATGTGTGTGCCTTTCTGGTCTCCGATGACTCTCGATACATCACAGGAGCCAGCGTGGAAGTGACAGGTACAGTGTGACAGCTGCTTCTGTATAAACACTTTTATACAGAAGCATAGGTGTCTATGATCACATGCAATGTTCAGCATGCTCAACGTTAGTGTCTTCTCTGTCAGGTGGACTCTTCATGGGCTGAACCGTCCGTCACACGGATGAAGACCAGTGGGAGCCGGTTCCTTTGGAGTTCATTTAATTGTTGAAATGATTGAACTTGATTTGCTCTTCGTGATTACTGTTGATTGTTTCATACATGTGGTTGCTAACATGTACTACACAGTGTAAAGCCACCTGTGTGCCAATAAACACCTGTTTGTAATATTTCTGTACAGAATGTAATATTTTAACTTGTGAGCTCAGAATTAAAAGTATTTTCCGTCAGCCTTCTGGTGTCTGTAAAGCACTTCATTCCTCTCCTGATCCATCCTGACCTTATTAAAGGGCCGGATGGGATTTGCACCTGGCCCTTCAGATCTACAAACATGTCTTTTAGAGGTTCAACAGCTCTGTCACACCACCACAGCCTCCACTCATCACCTGTGTTGTCTGAGAGCCTTTCATGGATTCCTTTAGAAGTTGGCTTTTTGAATACATTCCAATGTTAAAGCTACTTCTAGGAACTTTTTATTTTGTGTTGATTCTGTTCGTCCCTATGGACAAGTGGTAGTGTTTAATCACACCAGAGTCCATTTAGAAAACCTCTAATTTTACTGCAGCAGGTCAGTCGACCCCGCTCCGTCCTGGTTCTGGTTCTCCCGTGCCCCCCTTCCCTCCAGCGGGTCCAGCAATATGTCCTGGGTCTCCAGCAGCGTTATTCAGCATATTGTTTGCCTTTGGGTGAAATCAATATATTGATCAATTTCATCACTTTTGGCTGTATATAGGGATAAGTGCTGTTGTTTAACAATTGCAAAAAATACAGCCCATAATTTATATATGTTCGAGGCTGGAACAGAGATTAGAGACAAAAGCCATAATTCGCACCAAATTTATTAATCCATTAGTTTGATACAGGGCAGAGGTGAATATTGATGTACTGTAGTTCATGACGTTATTAGTACCACTCAGGATTTACATCACAATGTCTATCATCGTTTTCTGTTCAACAATCGACTGGTCAACCAGAACACATGTGAGAAGTCGTGTAACAGTTCGTGGAATGTACAAAAATAACTCAACGGCTCAGTCAGCAGCTCCGAGCGCTCTGTCCGCATCCTTCCGTCTTTACTCGGTCTTGGAAAAAAATGGAATGTGAAGCTCTGCTACCACTCGTTCACACCAGACGGGGAGTTAGAGAAACCATGCGGCTGGAGTTTAAGAGACACAACAAACTACACACCCGTCATACAGGGACCCTGAAACGTCCTCTCTCTTTGGTTCGGGGTCTATTTTGTAGATGTTTTTTTCTCTCATCATTTTAAGATACACCTCCCGATTTGGCACATTATCTAAGAAGTAGTTTTTGTGTTTGAGATCGACACTTTACCGACCACATGTTGAGGTTGTATTGATTATTTGGGTGCTGACACGAGCAGAAACTTCTTAAATTATGGGATGTAGAAAGTAGAGATCATTCTGTCTTCCTCTGTTCACATGTTTCTGACTGAGCCTCCTCTGTCTCTTCACGCGTTGTGTTTGCAGAGGAATAGTAAACGTCCACCTACACCTCACTCAGTGGAAGGTCCCCACATGCACGCTTAAACGCTTTCCAGTGTTTAACGTCACATTTGTCTCTCACACATTCTGCTCTCACAGCCGTGCAGTGTTTTCTCTGTGGCTGGTCAGCAGAGGAGCAGACAAACGGGGACAAACCAAAGACAGCCACAACTGAAGCCGTCACGGAGGAAACACTGGAGGTCAGAGGTCACGTAAAAAAAGCGCTCCAAACCTGCATATAAAAATATCCAGAGCCTTCACAGAAGGTCAAACGTTCCGATCCTTTATCTCTCCAGCTCTACGTTCGTGTAAAACACTGTGAAATGTTGAAGAGGTCATGTGTTATATTTCTGTCCTTACTGTCCTGTGCCGCAGCGACACGCTGAAGTATGATTTGGTTAAAGTATGTAGGAGTGAAACAATAATACAGCTACATAAATACTCATAGTTATCACATTGCTGCAGGTGTCTATGATCATAATCTCTTAAATCACAGCACCAAGAGGACACACCTTTGTGAAAGTCAATACGATTTTATAAATCAAATAATGATGCACTTTTCTCTCAAAACGAAATTTTCCTCCATACTTTTGACTTACATATTTAGTTTATTTTTATTTTTTTTAATGGGCCAAATTTTCACATTTAAGTTAAATCTAAATGAGAAGCACAGCACACAGAGTACTAAATACTATTTAAAGAGTATTTAAGTAAGCAGTGTTGTGATGCAAAAGAAAAATATATATATAAATATATGTACACACGTATATATACACATATGTATACATAAAATACTATTCATTTATTCCAATTCGTGAACAGCTCCCCCTTGTGGGGCTAAATGTGAACGTGAGTTAGGAGCAGCTCCATGAGGAGGAATGAATTATGTATTTTGGCCTCTTAACCAAAACAAAGAAAATAAGATGATTACATTATTAAAAATACGTTGGCATGGCGACAAAAACTACCTCCTCTACAAACATCACCTACTCTGTGTTTTAATAAAGAAACAAAGGAAGGAAGTAATTCTGTAGAGTGATACCTGTCAGCATCTTATCAGTAGTAGTACCGGTACATGATACTGGTGTATTTACTGGTGTATTTACTGGTGTATTTACTGGTGTATTTACTGGTGTATTTACTGGAGTATTTACTGGAGTATTTACTGGAGTATTTACTGGAGTATTTACTGGAGTATTTACTGGAGTATTTACTGGTGTATTTACTGGAGTATTTACTGGTGTATTTACTGGTGTATTTACTGGTGTATTACTGGTGTATTGTAACCACAGCAGGGCCCAGAGGAGAACATCGTGCACGGTGGAGAACTGTGAAGGAGAAACTCGGTGAGCTTCAGAGTAAACAGAACGGTGTTTCATTCAAAACTGTCACGGATTCATTTTTTGTCTATCAACTAATCAATTAGTAGTTTTACAATATCCAGGACATTTGACAAGTCAGATTTGCTCTCGTGTAGAAAGAATAGAGACAAAGATTGGACGCTCGTAAACACTCTATACACTGTAGAGCTCAGAGGAGACCAGCGTCTACCATTGCTAGCTTCTAATGCTCCTCATTGAAATGCACTGACTGGAGGTTCAGATGATTCATGAGGAGCTCGGTGTAGAACACTTAACGCCTCCACATCTGATTAAAGCAGACCGGACGGCAGCGAACGCATCCGTGTCACAAAGTCAGTGTTTGTTCCAGGCTGTGATGAGTGAAAACGACATATATTTCTATATATTTACAGCGATAATATACTTCTCAAAGCACGAAAACTCTGTGAACAACAAGAAAAAGTGAAAGCAGGTAACAGCAGCAGAACTGGAAAAGCACCAGGAGGCTTCTCTACGGCAGAGAAGATGAGCGGCGCTGAGCTCATCATGACAGGTAGTGTTTGTGTTTGTGTGGGGGTGGAGCACATTGGACATGAGGTCGATGATTTCATGTGTGTTTCATCAAAGTACAGTCATATTGGTTAGTTTACAGCTAAAAAAAAACAACGCGTTTAGGTGTGCAGTACCTCTGTGAGTTCTGAAGAAGTGTTCTGAATGAGCGCACCGGCTCTACAGGTTGGTAAATAAGCAGCTAAAAGATGATTGTGCCTTCACTGTGGTCCAGTTTGGGCTTCCAGCAAAGCAGCATCATCTCACTGTGATGATGCTGACAGTCAGTGTGTCACATGGGACGCTGAGGAAAAGACCAAAAAAACACAAACCTGCAACTTTAACTTCCTCTTTTCTCAGTTGAGTTCTGAATATAAAGTTTTTCTCTTGCAGATTTGTGTTTTTTCTCATCATATGACACATTACAATACAATACTGCAGAATCACAGCAAATTAGAACAGCCTTTATTTTCCTCTACTGATCTCTACTCTCTGTGGGAACTTTGTTAGTAACAGTTAGTGAAGCACTGCGTCTTCATTTCTGGCTTCCTCTCGACACGCAAAGCATTCTTCCACAAACACCCCCCCAAAAAATATACTTTACTAACATCTGGGATATCAGAAACGATAGCTTACTCACTGAGACGAAAGGTCCTTTTTTTTTTTTTAATGAGGCCACTTTTTGGAGGTAAGTTTCCAAAAGAATTGCGGATAACTTAACAGACAAGGGACGCACTTCCTGTTTGAAATGCTGAGTGTTGGCGGTTCAAAGTGATTCAGAGGTAAACGTTCACTATGTTGTAAAAACAGCAGCAGGAACGAGAGACGGGACAGTTTGCTCAGACAGAACGCCCGTTGGACAGAGCTCACACTACGGCTTTAAGTCACGCTACCGTCATCGGCACTGACTTCACACACGTCGTCATCGCACACGCTTCGACCCAACCCCAGACCGGCGAACAACCCTGGTCCCTGACCGGGACTCTGGGAGACCACCCCTAACAGGGCCCCTGTGGCGGCCATATTGTTGTTGCTACTTCCTGTGGCTGAGATGCCGGAAATATGTGGAGGAGCAGCAATCATTCCTCCTCCTCTCCCTCCTCCTCCCAGAATACCGCCCTGTCCTCCCTCGCCTCCAGACAGGAGGAGGTGAGGGGAGGCAATCAAATCTATCCCATCCTCACCTCCTCCTCCTCCTCCTCCTCCTCTTCTCCCTCCCTCCCCGCCATCGCCTCCCTCCCCCAGCCCGCTGCGCCTCTCGCAGTGCGAGCGGTGCCGCATGAAGCTGTCGCGCCACATGAACTTCTTGCCGCAGCCGAGGCAGTCGTACGGCTTGAGGCCCGTGTGCGTCTTCATGTGCTCCGTGAGGTGATGCTTCATCTTGAACTTCTTGGCACAGACGGGGCAGTGGAAGGGCCTCAGGTCCAGGTGCATGTTTATGTGGCGGTCCCTCATGCTCTTGTGCGTGAAGGTCTTACCACAGTGGCACATGAACACTTTCCCTGAACCCCCGGCGCCGATGCCGCCTCCAATCCCCCCACCGTCCATGCCATCGACTCCCAGACCGCCCTGCGCAGACGGGTGGACCGCGCCGTGCTCCAGACCGGGACCTTTGAAAGAGGCTCCTCCCATCATACCACCGGCCATCCCCAGGGGAGGCGCGGTGGCGTCCAGGGAGAGTCCGGAGGCCTGGCTGTAGAGGAGGATCTGGTTCCCCTGCATGTCCAGGGGGAAGAGCTGGGCCCGGGCCGAGGCGGCAGACTGAACCTGGCCCAGCAGCGCTGACACGGCGCGGCTAGCGCTCTGGCTCTGACCCGCTGCACTGTCATGAAGGTGAGCTAAAGTCTGGTCCATTAGACTGCCTTCAAACTTGAGGTAGTCTTCTGACGACTGGCAGTAGTCCACCTGGAGACACACAGAGATATGTGATGAGTGCAAAATGCAGGGACTGTGCTGCATCAGGACCATTTGCAGAATTTCAAACTTTTCAGTGATTTTACAGACTTCTCCACAGAGCGCTCTGCACCTGCATGTTGGACAGTCGACCCAAGTCTGCATGAGTCTAGAAAAGTTTAGAAGTTTAAAAACATATATTTATTTTGCACATCACACAGGTTCAGATGGCTGTATTTCTGTTTCACCCATAGACTGGATATAAGAAGTGGACGTAGTCATCATGACGTCACCCATTGGTTTGTGTACAGTTTGAATTGTTGAACCGTTGGAGCCCCCTGATGGTGATATTAAAACACACACAGCACCAGCTTGCACCCGGTCTGTCTCACCTTTCCACGAACACAAACGTCTGCTGTCACAATATCTTGAAAGATGCTACATGAAAACTCGACACCTCGCGTCTTTAGAACCGGCCTCAGCTCACCTGTGAGTCCATGTCGCTCTCTGCTCTGCCTCCCAGATCGGCCGAGAGGCTCCGAACGTTGGAGATGTTGAAGTTGCTTCTCTCCCTCTCTCTGGCCAGCTCCATCTCCCTCTCGTCCTCGTCCTCCTCGTCCTCTCCTCCCTCCTCCCCGGACACTACGATGAGGTCGTCGTCCTCCATGCGTTCGCTTTTCACCACCACCCACTGTTTACGGGGCATGATGCTGGGCTGGCTGTAGGTGGGACGCTTCTGCAGCGGCATCGCCGAGTCCTCCCCGTCCTTTCAATTGAGATAGTTAATTAAGGGTTTCTGGTCTAGAAAAAGCAGCTTGACTACTACTTTTTATATTCTAGTGTTTCATAAACCCTACAGGTTTTTGTTCTTTTTAAAAGGGAAGGAAAACCTGAAAAGGACCAACGCCGAGTTTAAACCAAATGGAATGATGAGGAAATAGATATAAAAACACTCAGGATACAGAATATTCCTCCTGTTTAAACAGAGCTCCCGCTTGATTGAAAATGAAAGGTCTTCAGATCAGACTAAAGGTGCACGGCTCACCTGATAAGAGGACACGCCAAAGCTGTCGCTAACCCCGACCTCCTGCTCTGACGCTGAGCTCATCTTCTTCCTCCTTCCGCTGCCTCCTCCTCCTCCTCCTCCTCCTCCTCCTCTCTTCCTTTGGTGGTACAACACCTCCTCCTCTTCCTCCTCCACTTCCTCCTCCTCCTCCTCCTCCTCCTCAATGAGGAAGGCTTCCTCTCTTCCCGACGGGGTGCAGTAGCTGGGGGTGTTGCTGGCCCCGCCTCCATCCGCTGACGCCCCGGCTGCGGCTGCACCGCTTCCTCCGAAGCTGCTCCCGTCTCTGGGGCTGAAGTAGTTGGTGCTGCTGGGAGACTGGCTCTCACTCACTGACGGGCGGCTGGGAGGTTGGGAGGCGCGCTGGGGCTCGTTGGACCCTTCGACCTGGGCTTGACCGCCACCGCCATCCCTGCCAGCCCCATTACCTCCGCCTGCAACACCGTCGCCATTGCTGCTGCTGCATCCGAGGTTGGCTGAGCCTCCGCCTCCTCCTCTGACAGTTGCTCCGTCCTGCATGCCGCCGCCTCCTCCTCCTCCGCCGCTCCCCCCTCCCGCTGCAGCCCGGCCCTCCTTCAGCAGCTCAGTGCACTTGTCCACGATGTGCCACATCTGCAGGACGCTGCCCACCGTGAGGTAGTTGACGATGTCATCGCGCAGCATCCGGAGCTGACCGGTGTAGGCGCAGCTCAGCACGCTCTCAAACGCCAGCGGGTCCATCACTGCCGGGATGGAGACGGTCGACATGTTCTTCAGTAGCACCTGGTGGTGGTGGGGGGGGGGGATAGATCACAATAATACGTTTAGCAATTTTTGAATAATTTGTCCTCCTCTCCTCCCCACTCCCTTCAATGCCGCCTTTCTCTTATTTGTTAAGACACTTGTCATGGTCACAATCCAACCCCGTACTAATACTCAGTACTAATACTCTAATACTTCTCTCTCACCAGTCTGCAATAGCTGGGATTCAGACAGTGGAGGGCAGTCGCTATGCATACTTATAAGGAAGAATTCAAACTCTTTTCACTGATGTGTCAAGATTAGGACCTGAATCCATCAACAACCACCCTAAATACACATACACACACTGGTTTAGAGGTTTAGCTGCTCTGTTTCACTCTCCCTGTTGTTTACGACACATGTTGCTTACATTATACACAGAGTGTTGACTGAAGTGTGTCGTATCCACAAAGACGTATAAAGTCAACTATCTCCCTTTGAATCCATATCCATTATTGTGTCTCGATATCTTTTACAGTGAGTCTGGTTAAACCAAACTGTCATAGGTCATAAAGTTTGAGACAGCTGCTATGGAATCCCATACAAGCGCTCAAATACAAGTTGCATGCCTCTGAATCTGATTTTCAAGGCACGTTTTTGACATGGTCCAGATCAGAGATGGATAAACAGGACTCCATGTTTTATGTGTTCGTACTGAATGGAAAACGTCAGCAGCTAAACGCTCCCACCTGGTCGTGGAAGTAGGGCGAGGAGGCGGCCAGGACGCAGCGGTGGGCTTTGAACACTTGTCCCTGGACGTGGATGGAGAGGTCACACAGCCTGCCGTCTTCTCTCTGCCGGTTCAGGCTGTCCAGCACCGAGGCCTGAGCGCCGGGGAAGCACACCTGCACCACCGGGCCAGACGTGTCGCTGGGAGCTGAGCTGCTGCTGCTGCTGCCCACTTCCATGGACAGGGACTGCATCTAGGGGGGAGAAAGATTTCATGACTGGCAATTCACTAATGTTTTCAGATTAAGTCCGACTGCTTCCATTATGATTTGTTACTGCTGAATCTGTCCAGGCCACAGTGAAGTTTGATGTAGGGATGTAGTAGAAGTACCACAACAGGCAGAGGGCCTTGTTCTGATATCCAGATGAGGTACATCACCACATCTGTTTAGGTATGGAAAAATCACTTGTGTAAATGTCACATGACTGTCATTCTCAACTCCTTTATTTACGTAGTAAGTGCTTTGTAGTGGTAATATATGCAATATTATGAATTTGAGGTATTTTTTAAATCCCAAAATACAGAAATCTAGATACTTAGTTTATTAAGTAACAGTCCTGCAATAAATTCTACGTTCAACGATTTTGTTATAAAATGTTTTAGAGAGGTGATGATTAGCGTAGCAACAAATTATTATTTTTATTACGATTACTGTCAATTATCATCTTGTTCTATAATCGTTTATTCAATAAAATATCAGAAAACAGAGAGAAACGAAGGTAACATCTTCAAATGTCTTGTTTCATAAAACCAACAAAGACATTTCGATTTCAATGAAAAGCAGCAAATCCTCACATCAGACCACACTTTTGTCTTTTGTTTTGTCTTAGAAAATTACTCAATAATAATCATTTATCAAATTATCAAAATAACTGCTGATTCATTTCCTGTCAATCCACCTATCGATTGATCAACTAATTGCTGATTCTTAACTTAATGATTTGATGGAGGCCTGCTGCTGCTGTTAACCTGCATGAGTCCACACTGAGAGGTGCACGGAGCGCGTGTTGTGTGTCGAGCACCGTGCGTGTTATGTCAGGCTGTCCCTGCTCTCCTGTGAACTGATTGCACTTTGACAGCCTGATAGTGATGAAGAGCTCCTGTAAGGCTTCACATAGACCACACACGCATCACGTCATTAGTTATGAGGAGGAACAGCCTACAACATGACATCCATGACACTTTGTTGCTGTGTTATTAGCGCTTGGGGGGGGGGGGGGGGATCAACAGCTGGAGTAAAAGCAGACTTTTAGTTGACAAGCTACAAAGGCGAAGCCGTGGATTGAGGATTCACGCTGGCGTGGTTGTTAAATTGTTCCGCTGGTGTTCGTCTTCAGCTCTCAGACAGCAGACAGAAACGGCGGCAGACCGTCAGAGGTTCGGACTCTAATCACACCTTTACAGATGTGACGTTAGCCTGCTAGCTAGCTCAGACGGCTGGCTACAAGAAGAAAAGAAAAGAGCCATGACGCGCTGCGGGCATTAAACTCACCGTTTTATTCGACACGGCAGCCGGCTGAAGTAGCGTCTCTGTCCGAGCTGACGGCGGTGTGTGCTGCCAGCTTATCCAGGCCCTGAAGTTTGGGGACCATTTTTGGAAAATATTCTTCCCATCTGATCTCCTGCAGCGGCAGACAGCGACGCGTCGCCTTTAAAAGGATTCCAGACAGACGAGCCAGACTTTGGCCGACAAAAAACACGCAAAGTAAACAATGGAAGAAACACCTGAAATACAGCGTTAATATACGCAATAACAGTCATAGACGAAAAGTGATGTTTGATTTGAAATAATAGACATTCATTTGTCTTATTCTATTATCTTTATCCCATATTAGCTCTCTGAAGAGCATTGACACATATGCTCTATGTATAGGCTGCATATGTTAGATAATAAGCAACATGAAATTATTTCCACCGTATATTTCATCTTTTATGGGATATTTAAATGCATGAAATACTGTCAAGAAAAATGTAACTAGAACAATAAAGGATTATATATATATATATATACACAGTGGGGCAAAAAAGTATTTAGTCAGCCACCAATTGTGCAAGTTCTCCCACTTAAAAAGATGAGAGAGGCCTGTAATTTTCATCATAGGTATATCTCAACTATGAGACAAAATGAGAAAAAAAAAAAAAAAAAGAAATCCAGAAAATCACATTGTAGGATTTTTAAAGAATTTATTTGCAAATTATGGTGGAAAATAAGTATTTGGTCAATAACAAAAGTTAATCTCAATACTTTGTTATATACCCTTTGTTGGCAATGACAGAGGTCAAACATTTTCTGTAAGTCTTCACAAGCTTTTCACACACTGTTGCTGGTATTTTGGCCCATTCCTCCATGCAGATCTCCTCTAGAGCAGTGATGTTTTGGGGCTGTCGCTGGGCAACACGGACTTTCAACTCCCTCCACAGATTTTCTATGGGGTTGAGATCTGGAGACTGGCTAGGCCACTCCAGGACCTTGAAATGCTTCTTACGAAGCCACTCCTTCGTTGCCCGGGCAGTGTGTTTGGGATCATTGTCATGCTGAAAAACCCAGCCACGTTTCATCTTCAATGCCCTTGCTGATGGAAGGAGGTTTCCACTCAAAATCTTACGATACATGGCCCCATTCATTCTTTCCTTTACACGGATCAGTCGTCCTGGTCCCCTTGCAGAATAACAGCCCCAAAGCATGATGTTTCCACCCCCATGCTTCACAGTAGGTATGGTGTTCTTTGGATGCAACTCTGCATTCTTTCTCCTCCAAACACGACGAGTTGAGTTTTTACCAAAAAGTTCTATTTTGGTTTCATCTGACCATATGACATTCTCCCAATCCTCTTCTGGATCATCCAAATGCTCTCTAGCAAACTTCAGACGGGCCTGGACATGTACTGGCTTAAGCAGGGGGACACGTCTGGCACTGCAGGATTTGAGTCCCTGGCGGCGTAGTGTGCTACTGATGGTAGCCTTTGTTACTTTGGTCCCAGCTCTCTGCAGGTCATTCACTAGGTCCCCCCCGTGTGGTTCTGGGATTTTTGTTCACCGTTCTTGTGATCATTTTGACCCCACGGGGTGAGATCTTGCGTGGAGCCCCAGATGGAGGGAGACTATCAGTGGTCTTGTATGTCTTCCATTTTCTAATAATTGCTCCCACAGTTCATTTCTTCACAACAAGCTGCTTACCTATTGCAGATTCAGTCTTCCCAGCCTGGTGCAGGTCTACAATTTTGTTTCTGGTGTCCTTTGACAGCTCTTTGGTCTTGGCCATAGTGGAGTTTGGAGTGTGACTGTTTGAGGTTGTGGACAGGTGTCTTTTATACTGATAACGAGTTCAAACAGGTGCCATTAATACAGGTAACGAGTGGAGGACAGAGGAGCCTCTTAAAGAAGAAGTTACAGGTCTGTGAGAGCCAGAAATCTTGCTTGTTTGTAGGTGACCAAATACTTATTTTACCGAGGAATTTACCAATTAATTCATTAAAAATCCTACATGGGATTTCCTGGATTATTTTCCCCCATTCTGTCTCTCATAGTTGAAGTATACCTATGATGAAAATTACAGGCCTCTCTCATCTTTTTAAGTGGGAGAACTTGCACAATTGGTGGCTGACTAAATACTTTTTTGCCCCACTGTATATATATATATATATATATATATATATACATACAGGGACAAAATTGTTGGTACCCTTCCGTTAAAGAAAGAAAAACCCACAATGGTCCCTGAAATAACTTGAAACTGACAAAAGTAATAATAAATAAAAATGTACTGAAAATGAACTAATGAAAATCAGACATTGCTTTTGAATTGTGGTTCAACAGAATCATTAAAAAAAACAAACTAATGCACTGCAATCAAGCGATTTCTGTAACTCTCAGTGAGACTTCTGCACCTGTCAACAGGTATTTTGGCCCACTCCTGTCTCAGGTTTGAAGGGTGCCTCCTCCAGACTGCATGTTTCAGCTTCTTGCACAGATGTTCAATAGGATTTAGATCAGGGCTCATAGAAGGCCTCTTCAGAGTAGTCCAATGTTTTGCTCTTAGCCATTCGTGGGTGTTTTTAACAATGTTTTGGGTCATTCTCCTGTTCGAGGACCCATGACCTGTGACTGAGACCAAGCTTTCTGACACTGGGCAGCACATTTTGCTCCAGAATGCCTCGATTGTCTTGAGATTTCATTGTACCCTGCACTGATTAAAGACACCCTGTGACAGATGCAGCAAAGCAGCCCCAGAACATAACCGAGCCTCCTCCATGTTTCACAGTAGTGTTCTTTTCTTTGTATGCTTCATTTTTGTGTCTGTGAACATAGAACAAATTTTTTGACAGCTTTGTCTCATCTATCTGAAGGACATTCTCCCAGAAGCTTTGAGGCTTGTCAATATGCATTTTGGCAAATTCCAGTTGCAAAACTGGAACTTTTTGGCAAGTCACATTATTTGAAGAATATAAATACTTCACCCAATTCTGTGTTACACCTTTAATAACACCTTCATTCAAACACAACACCATTTCTTCATTCCATTTGAAATGTAAGGCCAATAAGACCTCATTTACATGAACTTTTAATTGTTTTTTTAGTAAAAATAAATAAAATCAATGACGATCAGAGTCACGTGTTGATAGAATACAGACTGGTATATGTCAAAGTTTAGTGAGGATGATGTTTTTAAACCACTTCAATTTTTCAATGGCAGCAAATATCACACCTGTTGTCCTCTGGGATCAGAAATGACCCCGTCTGCTTTGACTGTTTATAAAGCATAAAGTAGAAATCATCACCCACCTCTGTTTCTCCTTTTAGTCAACTTCATTCCAACTCATTACCTAACATATAAAACATGTCAACATTCATTTCCGAAACATTTAAAAGGGTGCTGGTTATTAAGCAATGAACATCAATCCTTTGCCACCGTAAAGCCTGATAAATGTACTGTATACGACCAAACACGTTTGTCCTCCAGGGTTGATGTTGAAACATAACTCATAACTATCATAACGTAGTAGAATGACACTGAAGTCAGGAAAGTAGAACAAGAGAATTCCAATGCATTAGCTATAAAACATGCTTTATGTTTATGAAAACATTGGAAAAACTCACATGAAATAAACATAAAGCAGCAGAGAATATAAATAGCCCATCTAATGTCTTTATTATTACATCATGTTGGGCCAGAAAGTAGATAGAAAACAAACAATGACTGTTTATCATCAAAAGTCAAGAAAAGCTAAAGTGACAGTATTCGATATCCACACAATTTATTTGCAACTTTTGTGCAAGAAAAAAACATTTAAATAGGATAAAAACCAGGATATGGTTCCTCTTATTGATACAGGACATGTTCAATGAAGATTGAATGTCTCAACTGGAGAATTTCCTCATAAATCAAGAACCCATGTAATATGTATTTAAAACCTAACTAGAAACATGCATATGTACACATAGTCGATTAAATGTTTAAAAGACAGTATTAGTGATCACTAATGAAAGTCCTGAGAATACACAGGCAACTCTTGAGCGCCGTCTCACTGATTCACTCTACTTCTTGTTGGCATTCGCGGTCCCAATCACACAGTCATTCACCTGTAAAGAGAGGAAACAACATCTCCTGTCAATTATGAGAAAATGATACAACCGTCACAGTAAGTGAGTGTTAAAAGCATTCCAGGAGTCGTTTTGTTATAACTAGTCAACAAATTATAATGTTAAAAAATGGTGGAAAATGAAGCTGTGGGTCAAGGAAACAGATTATTTGTTGATTAAGAATAAAACATGTTTAACATAAGCTAGATGGTGCATTTTTAAACCAGGAACTACTTTACTCCTGTACTCTCAGCTAATAAATGTAACTTTACACTAAAGTTCACATCATGTGATTAATGTACTCATGTCACATTTTACCAGCCGTGTCATCAAGACAGGACTTTAAACAACCAGAGATGCAGCTCACCTTGCTGGCAAACCTCAGGGAGTTCAGGGTTTCTCCGAAGCTGTCTGACTCAGGGGCGATGTTCACAAACATCAGGCTGGGATGACAACAGAAATAAAGTCATTAGAATACTAGAACTCAGAATGCATTCTTTCCCACCCTGATGAAACCCATTACTGTTGACAAATGATTGACACAGCATCTGTTGGCCGAGACCACCGATGTCTGAACTCACGTTTTGCTGTTCCCTCCCAAGCACCCCTGCAGCAGGTACGTCAGCTTGGAGTTCCTGTACGGAATGAAGCTCTCCTGGAACACAAACACAAATCAATTCACGCCACAAACCAAATGAAGAAGGAAAAATGAACATCATTCAGAGGTGTTGTTTTGTAGGGTGGAAGTAAACCAGAAGTGTGTGCACTGTGCTTACTGACCTTGTTGGCCAGCGCGGTGATGACTATGCCGAGGTTGGACAGGGAGCCGTTGATGGCGGTCATCTCCTTAAAGCGCTCTCCCTGAGACTGACTCTTCAGCATTCGCTCACTGCCGGCCAAGTCCACCAGGCACAAAGTGGCTAAACACACACAAAATTACACAAGCAGGTTTAACGGAAATATAAACGTAGAACTCAGATTATAAAATGAGCACATATGTCACGTTTGCAAAAAGACAGCCGAGCAAGATATCTACCCTAACCACAGAGTTCTGTTCTAAACACACAAGTGAAAGCACATTTCGGACACTGGTGTAATCCGCGGGATTATACTCACACTTGCATTTGACATCCCTGCCAACGTTCACTCCCTCGATATCCAGCTGGAACACTGAATGGGAGCGAGAGGAGCGGTCGTTCTGGGCTGTCTGGGCCGTGGAGCGATTCTGATTGGCCAGCATGATCAGGCCGAGAACCTGGCAGGTGGAGGGGATCAAACAGAGTATTTACTGTAAAGCAACACATGTAGAAACAACATGGATACATAGTTAACTGATATGTCAATCATACTTGTCTATTAATTTAACTCTGCTGTGCCTGACTCTAATCTTTCATATTTGTTGTAACATGCCAATTATGTTGCTGGACGGTTAAATGACTTAAATCGTCTGAGATACACGTGTCCAGCGTACCTGATCCTCGTTGCAGACCCTTTCGTACGTGAGGTTGGTGATCGTCACCTCGTTGTTGGGGGACTTCCGGATCTCGTGCTCGGGCCGCTTGCTGGCCTTGCCAGAGTAGAGGAGGTCTCGCAGGCTCTCGTTGTATATTTCCACAAAGCTCGCCGTGAAGGTGAACTGAGATAAAAACAGAAATGATTCCCACATTTGATGATCATGTTCCCCTCCCCTCATCGTACTGCATCTCCTCCACAGACACTAACACGCTGAGAGCCAATAGCAGACAGACATTGGTGGTATGAGATGGAGAGACTGTCCCTGGTTTGTTTTGGTATCAACAGTATGAATCTACACCGATGTGAGACTCTGGGAAAGAGACGTTTTCTTGCGTTGCGTTGGTTGAGTTTTAGTTTTGCTCAAAAATTAGTATAATGAACAATTTTGTATTTTACTATTTCGCTCCTTTAATTTAATACTTTGTGTTGGTCAACACATCGGACATCAATAAGGAGGCTTTTGCTCCAGTATTTGACATTATTGCTGACATCCTCTACAGCGACGATACTAGAACACCGATTCCCTCAGGAGTTGGATGAGACCAAAAACATGACTGCTGCTCTGCTCTGTAACAGCTGGATGTGTCGATCAGCAAATGAACTGACAGATTTGCCATATCAACTACAAAGGTGATGAAACTTCCAAGTGTGTTCACATGTTTCTCCTAAAGTGACCAGAAACAATAAGTTATGGCAGATTTAATGAGTAAAAATACTTTCTATAACAGGATGAAATAGACAAAGAGTTCATTCTGAATACTACGACCTCCTTCCCTGTATGCGTTCTCATGCGTGACATTACACACTGACCTCCCAGCCCTGTGCCTCCAGCTTCTCTGCTGCTCTGAAGATTTGCTTCACGGCTCTGGGAATGACACCTCTGGACACGTCAAACTCGTCTCCCTCCATGGTGTACGTCTTTCCGCTCCCCGTCTGGCCGTAGGCAAAGCAGCAGACGTTGTAGCCGTCCAATGCAGACTGCACCAGCAGCGAGATCTCATCGAAGACCTGGAAACAAATTGACAAAATCACCATGAATTTCCTGCTCCGGTGGGAAACAGACACAAAATATTCACGCGTTTTATACTTTGATAACTTAAAGACTCTTTTATTGTACATTTTGATGCATGTTGTTTACCTCCTGTTGTGAAGACTGAGGGCCAAACACTCGGTCAAAACTGAAGTTGTAATTCTTGTGAGTGTCAGCAGTTTTGCCTGTGTGAGACTGAAAAGCAGAATTAAGTTTTGTACTCAAAGCAATATGTCAACATTTCTGCCTCTTCTTCTTTAAGGCGAGTTTGATGGAGCACTGAGAACATGTTTGTTATGTTAACTGTGACATCCAATTCATTACAATCATTTCTTATCTACAATGTAACTGGCTGGTTAGACAGGAAATACATCACAGAAACTCTGGATGCTACCCGCTACTGTGGCTACAGAGCACAAACATGCCTTGATTGATCTATTTATTCATACATCTGCTGTGGTATGCTGACAGGATTCTCACCTCCTCTGTTTTGGCCAGCGTTATCGTCTTGTTGTCGCTGGCCGCTAACTGAATGTGCTCGCTGAGGCCTCCCTCCACCAGAGGGCGCACCCTGCAAAAGACCCTGATGTTGCCCTGCAAGAAAAGGGTGATGGACAAATTAGTCGAGAGACAGCGAGATCCTCCTTGTGGCACTGGCAGCTCAGTGGCAAGCGTCAGTCAGGTGTCACAACAGCAGCAAGCGAGCTGCACTCGTTCGGCACCCGTCAAGAAGCTGGCGGGCTGAGTGAGCAGAGCCACATTTCCTGAGAACAACCATTGTTGTTACGATAGGATTTTGATGAAACTATATTACGAACTGTATTGCATCAAACAATCCACAGATTAATCGAAAACTTGATTCTTGCTGTGTACATGGCTACATGAATATTAAATCGCATGTAGTCAAATATTGTTGCTAACATACTCCCATCGGCCCACGTTTATTTATTTATTTTTCTTATAATGTTATCCTGGTATGTGCTTGCATCATAGACTAACAGTTTTCTTGTATACGGTCATTTTATTGCCTTGACTTTTATTTTGGCAATTTTTTACTTCCGGACTACCTGTCTTGCTTTGCGTCGCTCTTCAAAAGAAAAAACAAATAAACCATAAAACAAACTATCAAAACGTACACGGACCAGGGGGGCACACTCCCCCGACTACTGGTGGCACTCCCCCAGTGGCTCGCTTGCCACTGCAGTGCCAGTGCCACAAGGAGGATCTCGGCCTTGCTGAATTAGTCTCGTTAGTCAGAGAGAAGATTAACAACTGCCAACAACACAACAAAAATCATGATGAAGAAATGGAAACCACCAGCGTTCTCCTCTGTAGAGTAAGAACTACACTGTCACTGGACGGTGTTGAGCCGTTACTCTATGTTCTAACTTGCCTTGAGCTCCTGGATGGTATTATGGAGCCCCCTGCGCTCCATCTCCCCGGCATGAAGCTCGTCCTTCTGCTGGACCACAGTGTCCTTGAGAGAGCGGGCCTCTTCCTCCGTGTCTCTGAGGGTCACCTGCAGACGGGCCAGAGTCGACTCCTGCACCGACAGCTTCATCTGGAGAGGAAAAATAATATGTTAAAATAATATTCAAACTTCTTGATTGGATTTCTGGAAAGTAACGGCTCCGTTACGGTTTGTTAAATGATAATAATAGTCCTGTGGTAGCACACAATGTGGCATATTTACGTGTTGATACCACACAGCCAGTATTGGCAGTTATTCCAGCAGCAGACTTTATACCTTGAGCGTTTGCAGCTCCGTCTCCTGACTGTCCCGCAGAGTCTCCATGACCCTGTATTTGCTCTCTAAGTTGGAGAGCTCCTTTTCAAGAGTGCTCTTATCACTAGACACCATCTCCAACTCGTCCCGCACTCCTGCCAATGCCTGCAGCTCCGCCTCATACTCACTGAAACCAGAGGAGACATTTAATGGCATCAGACAAACCACATTATGAGGAGTCATTCTTTCTTCTTTTTTTTTTTAATAAATGGAATGTTTCTCAGTACCTGATCTGGCTCCTCTGCTTGGCAATATTTGTCTCCATTTCAGCCACTCTTGACTGGCTCTGGACCATCGTGACTCTCAGCGTCTCATTCTCCTGGTTGGTAGCTTTGACCTTGGTCTGGTAGTTTTGGATCTTACCCTCCATGTCGCTGACCTTGCCCCTCAAGTCCCATGCTTGACGCTTGGTGCCCCCGACCACACCTGTGCACAACAGGCATAAGCAACAGGTGTGACGGTTCCATTCAGACCTCAGAGTCTCTTTCACATCACACATCTTCACGTGTCACAGTAGGTAAAAAGCACAGGTGTAAATGATGAAATGAATGGTGGCTGAAATCCATTGCTGCTGTCCTGGTATTCTGCTCATTGTGAAAGCTTACTGGGACACATGAAGAGAGCAGAGCCACTGTTAGAAGTAACACATCTGCTTTTCCTTCTACAAACGAGTCAAAATGTCTGCTGTGAAAAAGGCATATTCTAAATATGATCGTGTAGAACATGTCATTCAAGAGATTCTGCAAAAAACTATTCAACTTGATCCTCTTTCACCATAAGCAGGTTAGTAACAAAATGTAATCCCTCATCTGCAGCTTCTAACATTTCACAGACTGTTAATTGCTTCAATAATTCAGCCAACAGGTTTTTCTCAAAGCTTCTGTGGGGAGTCATCATGGGTAACATTAATGCTAACTGACTTTTTACTAACCAGCTGGCAAACAATGTAATGTTTTATGGCCTGTTAATAACTTGTGTTGATCTACTCACTAGGTCCCGACAGCACGCAAACTTATTTATTTATTTATTCTAATTTGGGTAAGCAAGTATTCTATTGATGCAACTATTTAAATTTAGTTTAAACTTGGAGTTACTAAACAGTGATTAGATTTTAAATGTGCAACAGAGCTCTGCTTAATTCAAATCTGCTAAATTGCATCAGAGCTAATCCCAGCCTTAAACTCCAAACCATTGTTTTCATTTGCCAGGAAGGCTCGTAGCTCATTAACTGATTCACTTGATTTGACAACATTCACTCAGGAACAAGTGGAAAGGATTTATTCACCAGGTTTTGCTCCTGTGGGTGCAACAGTTTGTTTCACGTTGCCTCCCTTTGCTGCAGTTGAAGCTATAGATCGTTTCAGGACACCTGACGGGACAAAAACACAGTAAAGAACAATGTCAAAATCATTCACCCGTTACCTTGATAATAATACCCTGTGCTTATGATGGATCCAAAGCCCTTCTACATGTTCTTGCTACCAGTTTGTAAACTTTACTCATGAAATACTTTCTATATAAATACATTACACCCAGGTTAAACTAAAACTGTCTTTGCTCCAATGAGGACATGTGAACATAAACAGTACCCAGCCCAGCTTATTCACTTTGCTCCATCACCAAGCAGACCGCTCATCTTACCTCTGGAAGGACCAACAGCCACGGTGGCAGCGCCCACACCTCTGACTGGCCTCGCTGTGTGGGGGACAACGTGGGACAGACAGGTTTATGTTTTGTCAAAATAATAAAAATAGGATAATAACCTCAAATGATCTCATACACTCTTGGTGCATTCTGACCTTGGTGAAAAACAAAGACTCTAAAAGTCAGCTAACTTACAAATCGGTGCCCTGGTTGCTGCAACGGGAGGCCGTCTGCCACCGATGATGGTTGCTGCTGCATGTGGTACGACGGGCTCTGGGTCCTTACGAATCCTCTTCTGCAAACACAAAAAGCACCACCGGCATCAGGCAACAGCAGGGATTCAACCTCTTGGGCTATAACAATAATCAAATTATTCTAGCACACCTATCATGCATGATCATTATCTGGAGGCAGTGTGGAGTACTAATTGGCAGCACCACCACAAACAAGAAGTTCCACATCACATAACATTGTACGACATCATAATCAGCTTCATGGCAGAGAGAGTAACTCCATTTTAATGTTAAGATCTTGTGAGAGGCCAACATGTGGATGCTTGAACCTATGAGCTGGATAACAGGTTACTTTACATGCAGAGCAGCTTGAGGTGCAGCAGCAGAATAAAACTGACAGACAAAAAAGATGTAGAGAGTTTTAGTACATTTACAAACCTGAGCAGGCGCAAGGTCTTGTCCATTCTCTGAGCTGCTGCTGCTCGCCAGAAGGACCCTCTTGTTTGAACTGACTGGCAAGCGGGACATGTTCTGTTGAGGGTGAAGAGGTCAATTATGATCCAAACAGACCATCACAGGAAAAGATAGAGGTATGTTTCTGCTAGATATAAAGAAAAGTGGGTACTCAGCACAGGTATCACCTCTAGACTTAATTTACAGGCGCTGTATGCTACCTTCACAAACTCCTCCAAGCAGATTAACCACATTTACAAGTCTCAATTTAGATTGGCGATATCTTATCTGATATCTGAACGTCATGATGCTAAACCACAAAGCTTTTGAACTTTCACAGAGCAGTGCTGCAGTGGGTAAGCTGAGGATTTACACGATTCACCAATGAACAAAAAGCTGTTCTAACTCGACTCTAAGTTGACGTGCATGGCTCACTGTAATGTCTGTGACACACTAAAGAGAATGGGACCATGATTCATTTCATCAATTACACATCTGTGTTTACCCTGCTACGACATGTCAAAATGGCTGCAGTGAAAAGAGCCTGTTTGAGGGGTGAATTTACACACACACACACACACACACACACATTAATAAAGTGGAATCGTTATGAAACCACACCGCCTGACATTCTCACAAACATCGTTTTAATAATATATAGCATTAGCTAGTTAGAACTTTTCTCGCAGCTCTAGCTCTATAAAGCTTTTGAGAGAGAAACAAAATAATAGTTTCCTCTTAGTATGCGTTAACGTTATAGACAAAATAATCCAAACATTAACTTTATGCTTTTTAATTTACTCAAAAACTAGCTAGCCTAACTAACTAGTTGTTTGAGCTCAGGTCAACGAGGCCGAACGTTACAGGCCATACATAGCAAAAATAAGTTAAAAACGTAACGTTATAATGTTCCCAAGAAGTTGATAAAATATCTGTTACAACATAAGGTGGTATATGTATTATTTTTAATCATCTATAATGGGGCAGTCATTTTGGACCCGGAACACAAAAGTATTTAAAATTAAACTAAAACATCAAGAGGATTATATTAGTTTCGACAGATTGCCATTAGCCATGAAAAACCGACCTTCATGTTTACACTCAAGTAGCTAAATTTGCTAATTTGACTAAATGGTTGCTGCTACCAGTTACCGTGAGCATAAAAGGCAAATAGCTACGTTACACCACTGGAACTATCGTCACCGGGCAAACTTAAAAATGAAACGAAAGAAACAATAAACTTTGAGTTATTAAAACATTTACCTGAATTAACGCTGTTTTCACAAAAGGATGTCTCCAATCCGCTGTTTCCGGCCGTTTGAATTTCAAATCTAACTGTTTTGGTGGGTGCTTCGGAAAACCTGCCGTGATTGGTGGAGCCAGCGTAAACCCCGCCTCTGTTTTTATGTATGCTCGGTAGGACGCAAGGAGTGTCCCGCTTGGGCGGGATATACACTGTTCGCACAGTAAAGCCTACTGCAGACTAGTCTAATTTATCTAACGGATCACATTTTATACTACAATCAATGTAGTTGATTTACTATTGAATAATATTCTTATGATGATGATGATTTATAGTACAGTATTGATGATTAGCAATCTCACAAACCTGCTAAAATGTTTCTCACCACAAAATGTTTTCCATAAAACTGAGACACACTTCTTCCCTGACAAACCACTATGTGTTCACTATGTTTGGTAGGCGATCAACAATATATTTCTTTCTCTTTTACAGCACAATTTCACTTTTCCAAACACCAACTGTAATTGTGGGAGCTATTATTTTGGAGCACATGGATCCCTTTTACACATTCAAACCGGAACATTACACAATCGTACATTCTCACCAGTTCCACACAGTCTGGATTGTAATCAAATAAATCAGACAAATAAGGTTATTTTTTTTTTTTCCATCATAAACGTTTTTCGAACTTTATTCTCCTTAAGGGAAGAAACAGTCTGTTCAGATGAGCAAGAGGTGAAACTGTGCACACAGTATGCAAGAGTGTGGCATATAAGAGGGCCGTTAATAACTGTACTATTATCAGGAGCATCAGAAATAACATTAATAGGAATAGTGAGAATCTTGTTATTTTTCATAAAAAAAGACACATTAAAACACAAGGAGCAGCATACATGAGGACAAGCAGCCGGCTGTTACAGGCTGCTTGAACATTCTGATTGGGTGGAGACAGCTTGTGCACACAAACATGGCAGTAGTGTCCCAGGTCACCGGGACTTTATGTTGTGTGATCATGAAGATATACTAATATATATCATTTGTGTTAATAGAGGAATGCTGATGGGGGTTTCAGGTTACGACGACACAACAATCTCGTCACACAGGCCTGATCAAAGCTAATGATTCGTACAAATGAAACACACAGTTAACTTGGTGAAATCCTTCTCTGGTTACATCACAATCAGAATGAATATCACCATGTGCAATGGGCGAGTACGGTTCAAACTGCAGGAAAATGTTGCACAGTCATTCATTACAGAGAGAGAAGAAATACTTTCCCGTAGTTTAAATGTATCATTCTTTTGCACTTTGGAGGATGTGCTCCACCAGCACTACAGGTGACCTGGGACACAGCCATTGATGTGCCACTTGTTAATTTGAGTTCCTTTAGTTTCCATATATGCTTTACACAGAACATACTTCCCTTTCACAGATGAAAAAGTCTTTTCTATCTATTTATGTACAGCATACTGCAATACAATAATGCCTCAGATTGATAATAATGTGGATAACATTTGCAATGGTTATATTGAAAGTAGTAATATGTATGAAAAGTTCTTTAAAAAAAACAGTACCTGTCAGCCATTTTTTATCTCACAATCATTACTTCCCCAACAACGGACTATGATGAGTCGGGCTGTCTTCACTACTATTGGAGAATAGTTCATTCTTGGAATAGTAACACAAAAAACGCTTCTCTCTGTTCCCTTCACATTCATGCATCACTTTGCTTTCTCTCCGAGTGTGTTCACACGTTCCTCTGTTGGTAGAAAAATACATACATATGATATATAAAAAAAGAAAAAAAAAAGTACAATAATGGCAAACATAGACATGAAGTACAAGCTTCATCAAGTGCTTTCTTTATGACCCCTCCCACCCCACCAACCCCCCTTTCTCTCCTCATGGTTCCATCTCGCTCTGCTGCAGAGTCCTCCTGTTTTGTGCATTCTCCAACCGGTCCGTCTCTTTTGATCAAGACTCTGGGCTCCGACACAGAAGTGGTTCCTCAACTCCTCGCTGTCAGAGGGGAGGACGACGTAAATAAGGACACCATGAACCCTTTTGAGACTCAGCCCCAGGTTTTAGCCCCATCCAGTAATACACCTCACCATGTTCCTTCTCCTGGGCCTCTTCTTTTGTGTTCTTTTCTCAGGCTCCAATTCAGCCTTTCAGATGCAACCTCTGTTGTCGGAGGCGTCAATCAATATTCTAAACGGATTTACTTAGTCCGTCCCTACGGCGTCCATCTTTGATTCTTGTCTTCTTTCTCTCCCTTTGTTTTGGCTTGAACTAAATAATGGAGAATGTTCAGATGAATGTGATCTGAATGAGTTGAAAGATAACACCATTCTCTGGACTATAAATGTGCAGAGAGTAGTGTGATTTATTTTGTGTTTTACAGATATTTTACATCTTCATCCTCCGATGGTGCCTATTGCAAGCCATGCAATAAAAAAAGAGCCGGGACACCAGTGAGCCTCTTTTATCAAGATACTCAGACGAGGACTGCTGGTTTTGGATCAAGGTATTAAGTGTGTTTTACAAAGCTGATTATTGGACCATTGACTCGTAGTTGAAAAAAGGCGAATTAGACTACACATGCTTTTGAGAAATTCAGGTCTGAATTTAATCAGCATCTCATTCCCAATGTTATAAAAGCCAAAAGGGATCTCAGATCAGGGTTCTGGTTGAGTCTAAAACTGGAGGAATGTGGCTCCAGACTTGTATCAATGTCCTAGACCAGCATCTCTACTGAGAGGTACTTGGCACAAGTGGGCTCAGGAATCGAGAAGCACATTGTAAAATATCTGTGTTGTGACCAGGAACTCAATGCTGCACTTCACATTAGAGCTTCTTAAAATGAAGGGAAAAAATGGCGCTGGGTGAGTTCAATTTACTTGTATCTTCAAACGTTACATTGGTAAAATGTTCCACCCTATGAGCCATTTTTCCTTTCTTAAGAAGACTATAATAGTGAATACAGTTAACCGACTTGTTTATATGGACCTTTTTACACTGCAGATACAATAAGAAATGTCTCAAACTCGTAGCCTACGAGTTCATGTGCTCCACCTGTATGGCTGAGGTGGAGACGGTGAGGCAGAGGTCTTTGTGGACCACTGGCAGGTCCGCCACAGACACTGGTTTGTACTGGATCTCGCTGGCTGACACTGTCTTGTACTGGTGCAGGTCGAACGGGCACTGGACCACAGCTTGCTGGGTTGGCTGGTAGCCGCCTGGCGGTCCAGGGTTCTGGGTGTTGTTAGGGTTGGTCTGGTTCTGGAGCTGGCCCGCCCTGCCTCTCCCTCGACCACGGCCTCGGCCCCTGCCCGGCGTGAGGCCCTGGGCCTGCTGAGCAGCTACTGTTGCTGCCACTGTTAGCGGGTCGGGGTTGTGCTTCCTCATGTGTTTCATTAGATATGTCTCCTAGGGTGAGAGAGAGAGAAAACATGACGGCAGAACTACAAACATTCTCCTGTCAAATTCCTCCTTTTGTATCTTTTATAGCCTCTTTTGGAGCGCAGGAACTTTCCCCAGGATCCTTCAGAGGAACTTACAGCATTTCGACCTCAGGGACCAGGGTCTAGATTCCGTTCAGGGACATTTTGCCCACCAAAAAGGCCCCGGTTGGAGGGTAGTACTTTCTGAAATGACAGGAACTTTCGGGGTGGGGGTCGCAGGGATGATCGTCGCTGATTGGTTGAACTAGTGTGCCGCTCCATTCATAAAACAAAGAAGTGCTCCAGTATGGATTTAGGACCATTTTAGGATGAGGGGAGAGCGTTTCTTTTCGTTTGATAACAGTAAAAGTAAAGTTAGGCTTGGTTGTTGGCTTCCTGACTCATTTTAAAAAAGAAAGAAAAAGTCTGCTGAGTGCTTACCGAGGTGTAGGATCGGTTACAGAGGCCACAGGAGAACAGCTTGGCGTGTTTGACGGTGTGTGTGGACAGGTGCACCTCCAGGCTGGCAGCATCCGTGTAACCACGGTTACAGTTGTGGCACTTGAACGGCTTATCTTTGTTGTGCTGCCGACGGTGAGACTGTGGGGAGCGGAATGAACAGACGTCAGCACAAACAACAGGGGACGTTTTCCGCATGTTGAGAGTACCACGAATATGTCTTAAAGGGCCACTGTCTTTTATTCCTCAAACAGTGAATAATAAAATCAATTGATAGACCAACAAGAACATTTAACTTGATCTTGACTACACATGGGATCTACATATAAAGTTTACATTCTCGTCTCCACCAACACAGAGAAAGAACAGGTCAGCAAATCAAAGTCTTATTCTGGAAAATGTCATCAGGTCAGAACCTGTGAATTCATTTACCTGGAGGTTGGACAACTGAGTGAAAGCTTTTTCACAGCCAGGATGGTTACACTTGTACGGCCGGTCACCGGTATGAATCCTGAAACAGCACAGTAAGGCACTCCATCAGCGAAAAAGGGAGTAAAGCGCAGGTATTTAGTGTTTTCTCTTCTTCAAGGCAACAATTTGTACACAGCGTTATGCCATTTCAGATGCAGTGTACTCAGTCCTATTTAGCCATCTATCACTTACCGTCATTCACAAATAAAAGTAAACAAATTAAGGTGTTTTTAATGACGTCAAGATCACAGCTTAGTGGCTCAAGCCCTTGTTTTTCCCTTCTTTAACTTCCTCAAAAGGCAATGCCTTTTGTTAAGTGGTGTTATTAAATATTATGCTGAGTCGGGAAAACTTCTGTGGTTATTTGCACCCCTTCGAAGGCTTTAGACTGAGGTACTTATCCACAGTCTGTGTATTAGCTAGCTACAGTAACAGCAGCAGCACGCCCCCAGTTTGGAGAAACAGACAGGAGCACCAGCAGGGGAGCAAAGCAACGTACTACTGCTGTAGACGGGGGGGGGCAACAAAATCTATTTTATCATTACGTTGAAGTGTACGCTATATTTAGAATGCTTTCTCCGCTTTACGTTGCCATCCGTTGCCCTTTCTGACGGATAACTGAATCAGCTATCTAGACTCTCTTTAAAGCCACAAGACTCCATTGACAAACACTCATTTACTTTGCAGAACACACAGGGGTTGTTGGTCTACCGCTGCCTTGGTCAGTTAGTTTGTTTGTGTCATTGTTTGACTCTGGTGAATCTGAACTAACCAAAGTCACACAATAACACTAACTAACTAACTAATGGAGGCCGGGGTAGACCAGTAACACCCCTGTTCTTCTAGGAAAAATGTGTTTTTGTCAAAGGAGTCTTGTGGCTGTGAAGAGAGCAGAGATAACGGCTTCAGTTCCCCATCAGAAAGAGCTGTCTGACAGCAAGGTAAATGGACAAAAACAGTCTAAATACAGCGTACACTTGAACTGACTGATTCTTTTTAGGTGTCTAAAAACATTTGCTGCTGCCCCGTCTACAGCAGTACGTTGCTTTGCTCCTGTTCTGGTGCTCCTGGTGCTGGACCGCCATCTACTGTAGGTACTACTCTCCCACCGGAGGCAGGAAATCACCATAAGCCTGGCTGTGGCTGATAGGTAACCTATTTTCAATTTCAAGCCCAATCAATTGTCAGGGCTACTGATAATGTCTTTTATTTAGCAACTCTGATATGATTTATCAAAGAAAGCTGAAAACACAGCATGTTACAAAAACTAAAGAGCAAAAAGATGCAAACGACCACAATGCCGCAACTCTCTACAAACCTGCTCCCGTACGGTACATGCACACATAAAAACACAACCGGCCATTCGAACCCACCCAGCCCGGCCCGGCCCAGTACCGTGTGTGCTGCTGTAGGTGACTGAGCTGCCTGAATGTTTTCTGGCAGTAGGAGCAGGCGTAGGGCTTGGCCCCGGTGTGGATGCGGATGTGCTGGGACAGGTAGCTGGAGTTGGCAAACGACTTGGAGCAGTGGGGACACTTGTGGGGCTTGGCCTCCGTGTGGTTTCTAACACGGGGAAACCGGGATTGGAGGGGTGAGGAGGTGGAGGGAGGGAGAGAGAGAAAGAGAGAGAGAGAGAGAGAAACAGCGAGAGATTTTTAAGCTACAGCATGACCAAACTTCACCATGAGCTGAGGACCAAATCATGCGTTAAAGTTAACAGGATCGGCGATCAATAGCGTTGATCATAGATCATTAGGTTTGAAGGTGTGCTCTTTGTGCTGTGTCTGAGTTGTGACAACACAGAACAAAAACATACAGCAAGCACAGTCTCTCTCTCTTTCTCTCTCTCTCTTTCTTTCTCTCTCTCTCTCGCTCTCTCTCTCTCTCTCTCTCTCCCTCCCTCTCTCCCTCTCTCCCTCCCTCCCTCTCCCCATCGGTGTGTCCTGCTTTGAGTGGAGTGTGTCTATAAATGTCTGGCACTGCTGCAGCCAAATTGAAATGTAAATTCAGGACGAGTGGCAGGCCAGTGGAGCGCATCGTCCTGCCTAAAAGTAACGGCTGAAACCCGGTGCGTGGCAACGAGGGAACGTAAGACGTGGAGACAGTGAAGGACAAGGTCAAACGTCAAATTAAAACATGTATCATGAGGGCATGAATGGGTGCTTTCATCACTTATATCGTCACACAGTTACAGGAAATACACCATTCTATATGTCGGATTAGCGGCTTTATCTGCGTTGAACATGTAGGCTCCGTAAAACAATGACAAACACAATCAGGAGCGTGCATCGTTCTGAGGTTCGTATTCAAAGTGCACAAACACCGACGATCAACGGTCGTTTGAGGACGTAATCAGTGCTATTATCTCCTCAATGTTATTTTAGTCAAAGTTCTATTTTCACAGTTATTTTTTTTCAATGGGGATCTTTTAACATTACAGGTGGCTCCAAAGACAGTGAAAGGTCTCCACATGGTGCCTAACAACAAAGGGAAGGAGGGGATGCCTGAAGTAGTCGTGTGAAAGCAGAGGCAGATCCAGAGAGAAATATAATATAATAACATAATAACATGCATGCTACAGTACCAGGCCAAGCTTGTGACAGGATGAGGAAGTTAACACCCACCACCTGCTAAATGAAGGTATATTTTGGGGGCAACTGTTACTCTAAGTTGACCTCCTCTACCAACACTGGAGCATGCATCCACCCAACAATCTTAGCTTGTAAGTGATCAAAGCAACTAATAAATGTAATGATGAAGCGGGCGTCCAGAAAGGAACCAATCTTCATTGATAAATACATTAAAATAACAAGCTTAGAGCTTTGATTTAATTTAAGTGTGGTACAAGTGCTGCACCTTTAAAAGGTGCTGAGACTGCAAGAAGAGCTTATACTAAAAAATGTAACCCCAACTCACCATCCCCCTCCTCTCTTCATCAGTCACACACACAGGCACACACACGCTTTAACAGCAGAAACCACACACACACACACAGACCGGTGCAGTACCGTGTGTGCTGCTGTAGGTGACTGAGCTGCCTGAATGTTTTCTGGCAGTAGGTGCAGGTGTAGGGCTTGGCCCCGCTGTGGATGCGGATGTGCTGGGACAGGTAGCTGGAGTTGGCAAACGACTTGGAGCAGTGGGGACACTTGTGGGGCTTGGCCTCCGTGTGGGACTTGGCGTGGATCTGCATGTCCGACTTGCTGAAGAAGGTCACCGCACACATCCGGCACCTTGGCAAGAGAGAGAGAAGGAAACCATTACGGGGTTTTAACGTAGGCTTATGCATAGAGTCTGTAGTGCCTGTTTGGGCAGATGAGTTTCCACTACCTGTAGGATTTGGGACCGTCTTTGTTGGTATGGTCATCCTCATCGTTTGACAGGTCGTATGGGTCAGCAGTGTGGTGCTGACACGACAACAACATATACGTTATGATGACAGGCAGGAACACTGACAATCCATGCTGTGTAGAACACCAGTAACACGAGACTGTAGGCAGAGAACACAAGAGACCCTCACCTGTCCACCAGCGGCCAGGTGGGCCAATATTAACGCATCACTTCCTGGAGGAAGGACCCCCCCCATTCCGGCCACTCTGGCCAACATCTGTTTGCTCTTCCTGCCCCGCTTTGATGACGTCGGCATGACAACCGCAGGAATGTTCTGCTTCTTGTCTGGAAACAAGAGAAAAGTAAAAAAAAAGACAGCAAGGGAAGGAAAAGGAAAGGAAGGGAGAGTTGGTGAGAGTTGTGTGAAGACAACTTCTCTTACATGAACGAATCGGACCGACACGTCACATGCAAGAGTTACAAAAAAAGTATGGACGTACACACGTGTGTGTGTGTGGGTGTGTGTATGCATGTGTATGTATGTCACGAAGCAAAAAAGACAGGAATACACAAATAAATGGTGGGTCCAAAACAAAAATAACTATTCCAATGAAATGATTTGTGTGTCTGTCCTTAAAGCTGCATTTGGTAACTTTAATAAAAGTAACTATTCGTCATATTTGCTCAAACTGTTACTCTATCCTGACAGCAGCACATGACACGGATGATCTGTAAAATAATCAGGTTCCTGGGCCTTATTTAAGTGCTCCTAGTTTTGCAATATTTCACCTCGCCCGACGGAAAACCACCAATCAGAGCCGAGGAGCCTCTAACGCAGCTGTCAATCACTGCTGCTGAAGCTCTTGAGCCAGGCAGCGCTGATCAAATATGAATCACATTATGTTAATGCATTGCCTATTTCTCTCCTCGAATGTTTTCACAAGCATATTTCGGTGCAACGTGTAAATGTATCAAAGCCACAACGAAGCCCCGCCCACCAGCCAAAAGATACTCCTCAGACAAATACATTTTGAAAGAAATTATGAGCATAAACTTTGACAATACTTGAACCGTTATACGTTTGTTGAAATGCCTTAAGTGACGGTGAGCTGGGGCCCCGTGTTACCTGTATTTGAGGGGTGCACTGCAGATAATATCATGGAGGTGGTGGTGGGGTGTCCAGCTACAAATGACTGCGTGGAGGCGGTGGGGACCAGTGTGCCTTGAGGGGTGATCACTAACCCCGCTAAGAGGGAGAGAGAAACTGTGATCTGGCTGTTGGTCGAAACAAACATTTGACATTAGGCTACCGCTGCTACTAAGGGTGACTAACAGGAGGTGCACTGTCCTCCATTAGACACTGCCAATGTTTAAAGCCACAAGAAACACTTTGTATAAGGGTCAATATTCCTACAACCTCTATCTTAAAACTGCTAATACTAACATGGAATACAAAGAGACGTTTATGACGGCAAAGAAAACTGTTCGGATCGAGACTTGAAGCAGCTGCAGTTGAATATTTATAGTGTTCCTTACTCACGTGCATTGGTCTTAAAGTGATACCAGGGAACAGATATAATACGATGATACATGTGAGAATGGCGAGCCATGACAGGGAAGGGAAGAAGACGCAGCTGCTCGCTCACCTGCGGTCATGATACCTGTAGAGGGAACAGGCACTACGGTGATGTTCTGGGTGGTGTGCACCTGGTGCAGGTGTCCCCCGAGCGCACTCATGCCTCCTCCTCCCACTGCGGTACCTCCACCTCCTTCCTGTTTGGGGACCAGCCGCACCCCGGGCCCTGCGTCCATCGAGCCGGGGATGGCGAGCACAGCCGTGGGGTAGTGGGGGGAGGAGGTGGAAGACGCGGAGGCGTGAGGGAAGGAGGACGCGTTGGCCTTCTCCTGACCCAGCTGCTCCTTTGCCTTGTTCAGGAACATGGCGTTCTCGATCTAGAGGTGGGGGGGGAAGGAGGAAGGGGCGAAGTAATAAAGAGGAAAGGAGTGCAGGATAAAACATTGGGAGGAGCAGGAGCAGAGGAAGTGCGAACAGGGAAGGAAGATGAAGGATGAAAAGCACCAGGAAGGAGGCCATGAGAGATTAGGGAGACAGGTGAGGAGAGGTGAGAAAAGGGGGAGTGGTTTGGTGATATGCAAGTGTGTGATGAATACAGAAGGCCGGGAAGATTTAGGGAGATGAAAGGGACATGGGGAAAGGAGGAGGAGGAAAGAGAGTAAAGGAGAGGGAGACATGAGGTTGGAGGGGGAGAAGAGGAGTCAAGAATGGGTTTAGGGTCCATGGAGAGAAAACACAGGAGCAGAATATGAGGAAGATGGGCGAGGCAATAAAAGTGGATGTGATGACGGGACGAAGAATGAAAGAGAAAGGGAGGGGAGTAATTATGGAGGTCGGTAGTAAAAGAAGTGAGCAGCGGGATGGGAGCGTGAAGGGCAGGAGACGATAACGAGTTAGAAGACAGCGGAGGAGACGACGGCCATGGGAGAGAAGAGAGAACGAAGTGAGATGCAGAAAGACAATGAAAAAAGGACCAAAGGGGGGTTGAAGAGATGAGAGAGGAGAGTCATCACATCATCGAGTGAACCCTCCCCATGTCAACAACTCACATCCAAATAACTTTCATGTGAGATTAAGTCAGCTTCACCGATTTAGCGAGCACTGTTCAAATCATAGTCTGGTGTTGTGTCACGGGTCAAAGGACTAACACACTGCTTCTGACAGCACATACCACTACACCATGTGTATTCCAAGACAATTCCAACAATAAGGGTGTCTCTACCTGTCCTTGTACAGTGGAGACGGGAGACCAAAAGTATGATGAGTTGAAATGGGAATCGTCCATTATTTCTGGAATTAAAAAGCAACACACTTAGAAAACACCTGCCCTCCACCTCTTCCTTACTATGTTTCTGTTGTTTTTTTACTTTCATGTGAAACGACACCATGCGTGGCTGCATTTCAATCATCTTAGTTTGTTTCCTTTCCATGTTTCCTCTCCTCCATGGGACGACACACTGCACAGGTTTCAGGGTCAGCGTGGAGTACTAGCATCAGCCAGCAGAGCTGCTGTGTTCTAGCTGTGGCTCATTGTCATGTGCAATAAATCAGGAAAGCTTTTTGAAGGATCCCAGTCCAGTAAGATGTGTAAGATAGCTGTTACACAAGTGCCTGGTTGAAGGGAAATGCTTCAAGTTTTATTCTGTTTCTTATTTTATTTTAGTTAATATATTTCAGATTTACAGAGAAGAGGATGTGAAAGGAATCAGGCAAAGATGTTCAATCCCGGGGGGGATGGAGGTAAATAAATATATCTACAGGAGGACAGAAGACGTAAGAGTTGAGAAAACACACATGACAATCAGTCTTGGAGGCTTTTGATAACGTTTTGTAACACAGCCCATGCACTTCCTCACTAGTCTCTTACAACAGTTTGCATTGCTATTAACAGATGACACAATCTTAGAGCGGTGGCTTCATCAGTGTTAATGAGTCTAGTTCTGGAGTGCAACCCAATGCTGTCACAATGTTCGGACCATTTATTGCCTGGAGGAGTAACAGAGGCTTCCAGACTAGTACAGTATGTGTTGAAGAAAGAACATCCTTTCTAAGAGTGCATGACATGGTTTGTTGAAGACAACACTCACTGACTTTAAAAAGACTACTGTCTATCTTTTCATCATCTAACCTCCAATCTTCTGTTTCCCGATCATCTCCCACTGACACATAGGCAACATGTTTTCTGTAGCACAAAGAAGGAAGTTTCATAGTTTCATTGATCTATTTGTTTTTGCCATGCATTTGCACTTTATTTCCACACACTTTGCTACTGTTACAGACCGAAGGCGAGAGAACTCTTGAGGTTTTGGTTTTCCGCATGCATGTGGAGATTGTGAATGCCATGCATAGCCATATTCCCACATACCAAGAAAAGCAAGCATGTAATTGCATGTTAGTAAAGCCGGCATGACATTTAACAGAAATAGAGCTAAGCCCTTTAGCTGAGTGTCGGCCCATTTAAAAATAACTTCAACATAACACACTAATAAAACAAACTGACATAACTAAGGTAGGGAAATATTGCATGCAAAAGAACTGCAGCGCATAACTCAAGGCATGTTTGACGTTTTGTTTTGTTGAAGAGCATCCTCTCGCCTCCACAGTTGCACAAACGATGCATAAGTGATGGGGCAAACTAGTACATCTCCAACAGGCTGCAGCTTTCTGACTCTGTAGTTACTGGTCAATGGCTCAGTGCTCATGGAGCCGGGTTTGACGATTGGCACTAGCTGGCCCCCAAAAACTGTGGCACCGCTAGCTGACGTTAGCCGTGATAAATACATTCTTGTCAATTCGAATTTGTCATAAATGGTTTAAATGAGAAAACCCCTTGCAAAGCACTCAGCATGTATGTGTTAACGTTACACTGCACCTAGCCAGCTGCCGCGGGGTATCTGGGTAAAAAAAAAAAAAAACATGGCTAGCGCTAGCTGGTTAACGCAACAAGACGAGGGGAGCTAGCTAACTTGCCTCCATTAATTTTCTCCTTTTGTTCGCTGGCTCGCTCTAGCTACAAGGAGGCCTGTCTGTTCACATGCTTAACCTGGTTGCCACTTTGTCAACACAAACACCGTTGCTCCCTACGCCTCCATTCCTCACTCCCTGCTCATCTCGCTGAGAGAAAATAAAAAAAAGAGAAAAAAAAAGTCTCGAATAAAAAAAAAAAAAAAACGAAGACAGGGGAAAAAAAACGTCGACGCCGTCGCCTCTGTAGGAGACGCAGCTTCATGCAGACTTCCGGCGGTCGGGACGACGGTGCTCTCAGACACACTGAAAATAACAGTTAATTAACAACGGACTGATAACTCCTGTGTTAATTACCGGTGAAATCGACTCCCCGTCAACCCCCCCGGAGCCTCTTCGGGTCGGGACAGTTGGGAAACTTTGTCCAAATCCGCCCCTCAAACCCCTCAGTTATGCCTTTTTTTCGTTCGGTTTTTTTTTCCTTTTTTTCCCTCCAGCTCTCCTCAGCAGAGTCAAGTCGGAGGTGAACAGTTGCGTTTCCGGTCACGTCTTTAAAAAATAAAAGCCATATTGATTTTTCCATTGCGTTTCAATGAAAAAGTACCACTGTCAAATTTTAAAATGTACTCACGGCACAAGTGGAAGTTGTAATAAACTATAACAGCTGTCAGATCTATTTTGCCTGATAACATTTATTTAAATAATATATTGACTTGGCAGGTGGATGCTGCTCTCCATAATGTATTGGTTTATTTACCACTGAGTGTTTTTGAATTGTGTGTTATACACATATTAATACCTGGTGTTCTCAGACGGTTGATGTCTGAATTTTGAATTTTGAAGAAGAAATCCTCTTATTTCCTCATCTTTTAGTTTTTTTTTTTTATTAATCTTTATTTAAAATTGTCAGCATACATAGTATCAAACGTAAACATCAGAATCATGTTGATGAAGTGTTGCGAAAATAAAGGAAAAAGAGTGCCAGACAAAAAAAGATACCGGAAATGAGACAAATCCAATCAACGTAAAATAAACACGCGAGTGTTTGAAAATAAATGAACTGAAGGTATTGCACACATTCTTTGTTTCGTCTGCGTTTGTGAATGTGAGTTTGACCAGAATTCAAATTAGATTAATAAGAACAAATACATAAATGCCTTTGTCTTACTTCCTGCAGTAGATCGGCTATCTCTAGCTAACTTGACACATCTGCCAATAGTCCAACACAGTGTCTTCCGGTAAAGCCTGTTATTTATCCCGTCAGTGTGTGGGATTGAGAACATTAATAAGATGATCAATTTCTATCTACATTTTGCTCGGCTATATTCCTACAAAACAATCCTCAATTTATCTTTTAAAAGCCACTCATCCCTTTTAAAACGTCCGCATTGCTGCAGGGTTCTTGTATCTTTAATATCCAATCACTGTTATTATTTTCAATTTGTACTTTACGTCCACATCAGATGAAGTAGTTTCTGCCAGAGAAATAGACCTACTTCTTTCTTCATCAGTTATCATGGCTTTAGCATTAGGGTGAGAACCAGGGCTGTGTCTACGTGGTTGCTGGTTTGGAATCCCAGGAAAAAATTAAATAAATTGAGATGCAACAACAGGTACAACTACACCAGATAGTTACCCTTGGGCAAGGCACTGTAGCTCCAACGGGGCTGCTCAGTGCAAACAGTAGAGAACGTCAGTTTAAGTGTGAACCAGACAACTAAAATCAACATTCTGTGACAGATCAATGAAAGAAAGGCCTTAAAAATATCCAGTTTATTCGGACTACACCAAGCACGTGAGAGCTTCTTCATGGGCTCCCCATAAAAAAGATTATGCAGTTACAATGCAAAACCAACACATTGATAAAAACTGGAACAAATATGCAAAGCTAAAACCATGCACACATCACATGTGTAATCAGAAATAACACAAGCGTAAAGACTAATAACAAACACAGCAGTTGATTATATAATGTAATTATTGTTTTCAGAAATAGTAGAGGGCATAAGTGGTTTCCCTTTTGCAATTTAATGACAACTTTACTGGGTACAGGTTTGAATAGTATCTTCCTAGAAACACACGTTTCCTGAAGTGCACAGACAGTAAATAAAAAGCTACAAAGTGGCATCTTCCTGAACTTTACCAGTGAGGTGAAAAAACACTGAAACCGATTATAGCTTAAATACATGTATACTGAAGCACTGCTGTTAGTAAGAGTTAGTAGAGTGGTTAATGGTGACTTGTGAAGCAAACAGTGCAACTGTATTAAATATCAAATATATACTGTATAAACACATCTATATGTAGTGCACATCATTGTGCTTAACATCCCATTACAGAGGAACAACGGTCACGTTTCCTTTTCAATAGCTCACCAATGAATCTCAGCACACAGCACACAGCGTCCTGACTGAAAACAGATTCAATTACAGTTAAAGTGTTGGGGGTATGGATGCATGCACAATAACAGTAGAATTCACCTTCAAACAAATGAAATGGACCTTCAGTAATCCATTTTAATACATTTGGCTGTGCTGTAATCAGCAGTCACAGAAAGATAAATAGTGAGCTGTCAAGGCTGGGTACCATGGAGGAAACAGAAAGGACCACTGGTTAAAGTTAACGCTGTCAGACAGCTCAGTCAAAGAAAATCACACATGCAAATCATTTTCTAAATCGAAAGAAAAGCAAATGTGTTTTCATTGTAAGATTCTTTGATACCCACCCAGCCCTCGGAGCTTATGGGTGGAGGGTGACGGTGTGAGAGGGTATAAGGCAAGTTGCATCACTTTTTAGGAACTATCACTTCGGAGCTATACAGAAGCACAGAGACGCAAGTGAGAAAACAGCAATCCCGGTGAACCATTTCCTAAGTCTGACCTAACTTGTTTTCTCTCCTGTGTTTAGGACTTGAGGGGTTTTGTCAGGTTCATCGCTCTGTGTCCTTACATTTTTTGTGGGGAAATTGTTTATTCATTTTTTTTAAGGTCCTTTTTTTCATCTGTGAAAACAGCTGAAGAACGAAGGTTTGTGTCAGGTGCATTTTGTTGTTGTTGTTGTTGTAATACTTATTTTGGCCACAAGGAGCTGAGGAGTACCACTGCCCCATGTTTACATTAGACTCACAAAAGGATTCACCGGAATGATTTTTTCTGATTTTTGCCTCTCAGGGCTTCTTGAGACCTTCACTAGCACATCATTCTGGGGGACAGATGCATCGACTCTAACATGAGAACTTACTCGTACAAAATATATGTTCACTTCCTTACAATGGATTGTTTGGTAATAACTTTGTATCATAAATAAATAAGTTAACAAATAAGAAGAGTGCACAATACAGCAAGATTGACGAGCAATCTATCACTCCTGATGAATGCTATCGAACCTTCATCTCTTCATCTTCATCAACATCCTTTTCCCTGAAGTACAAGCGGCCGTCGTTTGACGATCAGCTGTCTAACGGACCGTTTAGCATCTCTTCACATTATTCATTTAAAAAATAAAAGATTTATAGTTCAGCATTTCAATCCACTCATAATGACACTGTGGTATTCCCACTGCTACAATTGAAGGCTAAGGCTATACTCTACACCACGCTTACCTTCAGTTCCACACGCTACACCTTTATGACAGCTGCTACATAACTGTGCCAAAACAACACAGAGGGTGCCACTTTACTTAAAGAATACTTCTAGTACAGTGTATGTATGACTGGGCGGCAAAGACTCAAGGGAACCTGAACCACAAGATCCAGGTTCAAGCTCCTGTTTTAGCCTGAATCTGTTTAAGTGTCCTTGGGAGAAGACAGGACCCTTGACCTGTGACCCCACTGCTTGGGAGGGACCGAGAGAGAGAGGACTTTACCTATGACGGCCATCACAGCATCGGATTATCCAGAAAACGATTCTATACTGACGTTGTATGCCGTTGACTAGATTGAAGTACAGCGAGGTTAACAGTAAAGTGAGCCGAGTTTCTCTGAATTGACGACTTTGTTGGCATCCAGTAGAAAGACTTAAAGTGACCACTGCAGTGCTCTGATGATAGATATAAAAATATCAAGTCGATAAGAGACATGTTTAAGTGCGTAGTGTAAAACCTGAAGTCAGGGAACACCTGTGGGTTAGGGTTAGTGAACATGCACGTTTGCTAATATTTCTGTCTAAAGTCACAGGGAAAGGTGGTATGGGGCTGCTGCATAGGGGTTTAATGGTTAATACTATATTATACTGGTATGCCTTCAGCAAAGGCTCTTCCTATCACACTGATTCAGCAGGACAAGACTAGAACACACCAGTGTGGATGGAAAACACACATATTAGATAGAAAACAATGATACAAAAATAGATGTACAATACATAGTAATGGTATACAGATGGCACCACAATTTTGCTGACCTGTAAGTAAAGGTCTGATGACTAAACTAATCCCCCTTGATACATTAGATATGAATTATGAATCCCATGGGGAGAAATGAGTGATGGCTCAAACCAAAGGCTGTGGTTTTGGTCCTGTATTAAACGACGCAATGTTAGCAGGAGATGAAGGTTTCCAACGCGTGGTCGTGTTAAGATGCACTTAAGGTTCAGCAGCAAGGCAGTGGACAGGCAGTTATGAACGAGACATTAAAGTTGAGCACAGACACACAACATGTGACCCACCGCAGGGACAAGAAGGTAGGAAAGGACATGAGACTGTTCAGACCAAGTCTAAAGCGAAGGTTTAAAAAGTACGGGATACACAGAGGCTACTGTCACATCTGTTGCCATCTTTCGATGCCAATGTAAATTAAGTCACAGGCCCGAAATATGAAGAGAAAATATGCTGGAAGTATTGTAGTTTGAATGCTTTGTGTTTATGCTGAATGTAAGTCAGTACCAGCGGACTAAAAAACAAGTGAAACAACAACTGTAACAGTAGCCAGTGGAGCACAATACTTAAACCCAGATGGGTATCAGTGAGCATGTCCACAGCTACGTGGGGGAAACAGCTGACCAGATGATGTAAGACAGACATGTGAGTAGAGGAGTCGGGCTGTGTTAGTGTGTAAGTGTTCGCAGACTCATGCAGAGTCCAGCTGATAAGACAGAGGGGGGGGGTTGATTCTCTTCAGCCTGTATGAGAGGTCACCTGCAGAATGGAGGGAAAGAGAGAGAGGTCTGTCTTTCAAGTTCAATTTATTTTTACATCAATAAATGCAGATAACTCTCATTTGAACTTACCTCTGCAGCTCTAATGAGTTTTTAAGCCTATTTACGGAGCGGCTCAGGCTCACTAGCTTTTTTTCTTATAAACATTGTTTGCGCATTTTCTCCCTTTATTAGATAGACAGGACCGACAGGAAAGGAGAGAGAGAGAGAAGACGACATGCGGCAAAGTTTCGCCGTTAATATCAAATAAATTAAGTAGTGAAATTACCAGCATGGTAAATAAATATAACAACTATCAGCATGTGAATAGGTCACTGTGCAGGTAAGCCTGCTTGGGATTTTGTTGTCGGCTACATTTAAAGTAGGCCTATGGCTTACAACTAGTGTTATGTTATGTTCATCACATGAATAGTTTTCATAAATACACTCAACTCAATACACTTGACTCAACCAATCACACTGAAAAGAATGCCTCATACCTATCAACAGAGTCAACCACACCTCCTCACTAAGGTCCCTTCCTTGCTCAGAGTTGCTTCCTAAATCACTCATTGCTAGTAATGCTCAGGCGGAGTTAGGAGCTCTCAGAGTATTCTCAGAATGTTTGTGAGTACGGCCCCAGGACTGTTTGCGTGTCAGTGTTTTTGTGACTTCTTCTGCCTCCACATTGGCAACAAAATAAAACCAAAGACTGCAGCTCATGGAGGATCCATTCTTGCATCCTCCACGATGCATATGAAGGGACACGCATCAGCAGACCAGGGTCAGCGAGTCCAGAGAGTTAACAGTGCTGTGTGTGGATGTGTTACCTGGGAGATGTTGACTCCGGTCAGCTTCTCCACAGCCGCGGGGAGGCGAACCATGATGTCCAGCACCTCTCCCGTCAGTTTGGCGGCGCCCACCTCCCCGCCTCCGCTGGACACCATGGTAACCTTGTTGGCTTCACACAGAGGCTTGCTGATCTCCTCCGCCATCTGGTGGAAGAGAGATATTACCAAATGTTAGAACCTTCACAAACTCCTCATAGGCAGATGAAACACTTAGGACACGAAGCAACGAAGTGACTGTGAGAAATGACAGTGTGCAACTAAGCAGTGAAACTAAACAAATTAAATGAACCAAAATTAATTTAATTAACCATGAGTTTTTTTATGCCATACATGATTTTTAATAAATGTTAATTTACACAAGATCGTAATTATTTGGCTATATGGTTTAAGTTTAAAGTATTTTTTATCTTATTTTAATGATATTTTCTGAAATGTGAAATAAATATAGCAAACGATAGCAAGTCTACAAGGAACACTGATACCTTTATTTTTGTTTACTTAACAACGCATCTCCTTAATATATTTTTGTTAATGTTAACAGTCTTAAAGGTGCACTGACGAGGGCAAATTATTAGCTGTAATTAGGACAATACGTAACCCAGAGATGGACAAACAGCAGTGTTGTATGAATGGACTGTTTAACATGTTGTCTCTCACCAGAGGCAGTTTCTCCAGCAGCATGTCCACCATGGCTCCATCCTTGTACTGCTGGAAGGCCTCTGCCTTCTTCGCCATCTGCTCCGCCTCGGCGCGACCCTTGGCCTCCACTGCGAACGCCTCGGCCTCACCCTTAATCTGACGGAGACAAGAGGACCAATATTTCACAACATTCTCAACATGACTTCCAGTTTAAAGTATTTAGAGAACAGCCGAGTTGGGGATCAGCTGTGACTCACCCTGATGGACTCGGCATCGGCCTCCGCCTCCATGATCAACTTAAGACTGGACAGAGAGAGAAGGAAACAGATGATTCAGCAGATAGTGCACGATGCTACTATATCATGAACAATATACAACGCGAGACAGGGCTTATGGTCCATCTTTATTTTCACTCAATCATCAAAAGAAGTACGGTATGATAATGACTTCACTCTGTCACTATGATACATTCACTTTGTTTTCTTAAAAACAAACTCTCATTGGCTGTAAAAACGTTCCACCTTTTAATCAGTGTTGGAAAGTTACCAAGTACATTTACTTGAGTTCTGTACTTAAGTACAATTTGAAGGTACTTGTAATTTACTTTAGTATTTCCATTTTCTGCTACTGTATACTTCTACTCCACTACGCTTCATAGGCAAATATTGTTTTACTCCTCTGCATTTATTTCATAACCAGTTAGGTTGCAGATTCCGATAATAATACAACATTAAAAAACAACTTAAAATTGACTCAAGTGACCAAGAACCAGATGAACCTGGAGGTCTTGTGAGGAGAAGTATCCGGGCATCTTTGAGCTGGATGGAAAATGACCAAATTGCTGACTCACCACACCACCCTGTCGTGTTGGAAGAGCACCCGTGAGGTGACAACTCACCGCTGAGCCTCGGCCAGTTTCTCCAGGCGGTACCTCTCAGCCTCCGCTGGTTTCTTCACCTTGGCCTCCAGCTCCTTCTCCTTGCGGGTGATCTCCTGCTCCTGCAGCATGGTCTGCTGTGTCCGCTCCACCACCTGGACCTGCATCCTCTCCTCCTCAATGCGTTGCTTCGTCTTTGCCACCTGAGAGAATGCAAGGGGGAACATCCCGTCGTTCAGCATCAGAAAGTGTTCGATCCAGTCAGTAAATGCGTTACGCACTGCAATCACACATCACCCAGTTCTCATTTGCTCTTGTGTACCTGCAGCTGGTAGGCCATCTCTGACTCCGCCTTCTTAGTGTTGACCTCGATGTCATAGGTGGCCTTCTTCAGCTCATAGTCCCTCTGGGCCTTCGCCATGTCGATCTCATTCTTGTACTGAGCTGAAACTTTCTCCTGCATCGCATGGGCCTCCTGCAGAGAGAGAAACAGAGAGAGAGAGAGAGAGGAGAGAGAGAGAGAGAGAGAGAGAGAGAGAGAGAGAAACAGAGCGAGAGAGAGAGAGAAAGTAAGAGAGAGAGGGGGAAGGGGAAGATGTTTATCCTATCTTGAAAATAGGATAAACAGGATGAAGATGCTAAAAATATGGACAAGAGTTTAGACAAACATCACTGGAGACTGAGTAAACCAGACCAAGAAAAATAACTGACAACTCTAAAAACAGATTTCTATAAACAAGATTGGCGCCACAATATGCAACCAGGGGCTGAAAGGCTAACAGGTGGCTGCAGCTAGCTTAAAAACGTTACATCTCAGCATGTCTGAGGATTATTGTAGCAACTTATGTCTCCCAGAGGTACAGTTGATATCTAAAATGATGAAGTTGTCCATTAGCTATGTGTTACAGCAAGCTACTGTAGTTAGCTTAGCCACTTGCTAACGTAATGCTGCATAGCTTTCTGCTGTCAAAATGCTTTAGCTTAACTTACAGAAATACAGTTAGCCTAAAACTGACATTTCCACAAAATGCTTGCTGCATATGTAGTATAAAAACTAGGTTCTGGGTTCTTTAACCTGTTGGTAGTGCGTCCCACAGCTTGTAGGCATTTTTGTGATGTTTGCTGGCAGTCGAAAGTGACCCTTTGCACCACACAGTCATTGGTTTCCCCTCCGGCGTGAGCGGGACTTAAATGCGCTCTGTAGGGACGATGTATTTTTGTAGGCTAGCATGGAGGAAAGTTAGCATCCCACTGGTTCCCCTGACAAAAAGCCCAGGGGATTTTTTCATTGGATTTTGGATTATTGCAGAAAATAAACTCTGTGGCAAACACTTTTTTATGATACTTTACTTACCTTATGTGTTGTTAATCGCCAGAAATAATAATGATATCAACATTTTAGGCCATAAACAATGTACACCATGGTCACATGACTTCATGTCACCACCACTATGCTAAAGAAGAACTAGTGTTCTTATGATGACGTTTAGTCATCTCATTTGGCCTCTTGTTAGCAACCAACTTTTTAAAGATACATACATTTTATTTTGTTGAACAAAATGATAAAATCTCTTCAGCTTGTGTTAACCACACACCTTATTTCAGGCATCTAACCAAAAATCCATTCAGATAACTCATAACTCAAGTGCAAACATGCTGACTCATTTCTGGGTTTTAGGACTCGTTCCTGCAGCACTCCATAACTCTTGAAAATAGGATAAACAAGATGCTAAAAATACAGACAAGAGTTGAGACGAATATCATCGGAGACTGAGCAAAATGGACTAAGGACAAGAACCGACTCCTTTAAAAACAGACCTCAAAAAAACCAAGATGGACTTCTGTTGGAACGCATTCCAAATAAAAACCTTGTTTATAGCCTGATGTTTGTGAGGAAATGAGACGCGTTGACAGGCATATCAATATCCTGGAGGATGGAGACAGCGTGGTATGATGTCTCACCCTGATCACAGCATCTCTCTTGTTCTTGGCCTCTCCGATGCGAGCGTCTTTCTGAACCTGGGCTGTCCGAGCCTTCCCCAGCGAATGCAGATAATCCTGCGTACCAAAAAGAGATGTCACAGTTAGGTGTGTTAAATAACATACGGAAAAACTCCTTACGGCCTGTGATCAATCATCAATTTGTTCAAAAATAATTCAGGGACTAAATAAAAAGTAGTTATAAAATGTCCCACTTCTGAAAATGACTGATTGCAAGGTGTGCAGTTTACCTGGTCGTCGTGAACATCTTTGAGCGTGTAGCTGACCACGCTGATGCCCATGTTGACCAGGTCCGAGGAAGCCACCGTAAAAACCTGTTCAGAGAACTTCTTTCGGTCCTTGTAGATCTCCTGTGGGAGGAAGTCTCAAGGTTAATGGTAGAACAATACAAGTGAGACGTGTTCAGCGCCGTTAGCAGCACCTGTGCTTCTTTGCCAGCTTCTCTGTGTGCCTTGACAGTCGGGAAGCGACGTAATGTCAACAAACATGAACCTTTTTTTACTCTTGTTGTGAAATGCTCACTGGATTAATATTTGTAATGGCAACGTGGTTTAATTCCTGACGAGGACTTTTAAACTCTCTTATACCAACAACCATCGGACCCTTACCTCAACGGTCAGGTGGGCAATGATGGCCCGCTGGTGTCCCTCCAGCGTCTCCAAGGCGATATGGGCGATCTCGGGCTCGGACTTCCCCATGAACATTTGGCAGGCGGCAGCCAGCATCTGTTTGTTCTGGCCCTGGATCTTCATCTGCAGGAAAACAAGCAGCCCGTTTATCGTGAAGAGGCAGAGACGCACGTCGATCACATGACTGCTGGGCTCATTCACCATGTCCACAAGGAGATGAAACATTGTGCTCGTACCACCAGGAAGAGCAGGTGTATTTCAATCTGTGAGGTGAACTAATGGAATGATTAAAGTACGAATATAATACACTGTTTTTGAGAGGTACAGGGATGAGGAACGGGCCGTGTCTCTCTCTGGACTGTGACGCTCATTGTTGTTAATGTTTATATATATATATATATATATATATATATATATATACCAAGATGATTATTTATGTGTATATGTGATAAACATTAAGTTCATTATTTAAATCATAAAAGGCATAGGACATTCTAAGTGTTTACTTCTGCCTATTCTTTTTCAAACATATAATTTTTTTATTTATTTGGAATTTGATGTGTTACTCTTCATGTTATTGGTTAATCGTGTTCTGTATTCTCATTATATGTTACACGTTCAAAATAAATCTATCTAATCTAATCAGTCCAGCAGGACAGCAGCTGTTTTTAATGCAAATCAATAAATGACACTCTGATATTCAAAAAATCACAACACTGAATCATCACAAGATGAGAAATCTGTGGCTGCAACTACTTTTGAATAGGAATACTGATCAGTGACGCTGAGATTGTAATATTCTACATCAAGCGGCTTCATTCACTACAGCAAATACGAGCAAATACTGCTTCATGTATCTGCGCTCAACAAAAATATCAACGCTTTTGTTTCTGCTCTCATTTTTCACGAGTTCAAATAATAAAATAAAAAATGCTTTTTCTTTGCACACAAAAGTTTTACTTCTCTTGAATTCTGTTCACAAATTAGTTTGAATCCGTGTTAGTGAGCGCTTGAACGCGATGTTCGGTCCAGCTGACAGGTGTGGCGTATCAAGAGGCTGATGATTGTTGCACAGCTGTGGTCACAATAAAAGGTCACTCTAAAAACTGTGCCACAACCTCACCAACTCTATGTCTATGCAAAGGAGATGTGTGATGATGTGTGTACTGACTGATTCCTGACCCCAAAACGCATTTCTGTAGCCTGAGTCATGTGAAATCTGAAGAAATTTATTTTTGGAGTGACATTTTATCGTGACCACCAAGCCTGTGTAACAATCATGCAGTTTAATCAGCCTGTTGATACGCCACACCTGTCAGTGCTCACTAACACGGATTTAAACTAATCTGTGCGCATTATTTAAGATAAATAAGCCTTTTGTGTACTTGGATATGTTATTTTCAACTCATGAAAAACAGGAGCAAAAACAAAAGTGTTGATATGTCTTGTTTGGTAAAGTGACACTAACAGATGTGGAGGAGCCATACAAACCTTCCAGCTACAGCGTTATTACACAGTTTAGCCGCGTTCGGGTGGTAACTGACGACCCAGAGAGCACTGACCTGGGCTATGCCGGTGACGGAGATGGGCACACCGTGGCGGGTGTAGACTTTGTCGCTCTTCACATTCAGAGTCAGAGTGTTCAGGGAAATCCTGGAGGGAGGCATGGCGAGGCACAAACGGGAGAAGAGGATGATTGATCGATTATTATAATGGTATACATTAAAGTGGAATCATTTCAGCTGTGCGCTCGGACTCATATATATCACAGGTGCAAGATCGAGGCCAGCTACAGCATTCGGACAAACAAAACATCAAGTCTGGTGCCACATGACGAACTGAAATGGATGTGAGAGGAGCAGCATGTGATCCTAACGTGTCCTGCAATCCGTTTGTTAGAGCACAAATTATATTATTAGACAAAATATAGATCTCACTAATCCTTTTCATTTCATAAAGAGGGAGATGGCCACTGTTTTTAATATGTGTCCATCAGTCATTCACTATAATTGCACATCATATTTATATGATTTATTATAATTTTATCAAAATGTCCTGTAGTGTAAAGCTACTTTTTAATTTACAATTTGTATTTGTATTTTATGTCGCCGCAGTGCCTTTTGCCATCTTATCAAGTTTGCCAATCTGGTAATAATATAGTCAGTTAAAAAGCAGCAGCGTCAGGCGTTAGAGACGGGCAGACAACAGCGGGCGGTGACGTTTGCAAACCTCTGTATCTGCTGGATACACGGGATGACGAACACTCGGCCTCCAGGTATCATCAGAGGAGGGGAACGACAAAACCCTGAGAGATGAGACGGAGCAGAGCCTCCAGTCACACACGGTGCTTCTAGCTTTAGCTTTGTTTCTGCATGTTTCACTTCACAATCAGACATTCAACCATAAACCCATTAAATAGCATCGAGCAATTCCTATTTCATAACTTTGCTTTTAAACTTTTTAGAAAATGTTATCACAGATGTTTTTTTTATATTTGGATATTATGGATATTTTGTCCACTTTGGAATGACACCCTTCAAATGGATGGAAATTATTATTAATAATAATAATAATAATTAAAAACAAGAATGGCATCCTCTTGATTATGGTGTCACTGTAAGCTGCCATCATTTACCTGACACCACCATAGCCTCGTTGGGACCGCAGGTGTAGAACATGTTTGCTGATCCTCCTTCAGAATAAAACATGAAACCAGTCACACTGTGAACACTGTAAAGGAATTGTTTGGACTTCTACTATACACACACACACACACACACACGTTTATTTTATATTCTTATTTCAGAAATAACAATGCCTCCAAAAATGAGTAGCAGTGTCTGTTGTGATGAAAGAGGAGGAGGAGGAGTAGGTTTGTGATGGGTACCAGACAGCAGACCTGACCAGCTCAAATCTAATTCACACTCATGTTGCGCAGTAAAAATGTGCAAGAAGAGCCTCAAGAGTAACACAAACACCTACACACTACAGCCGCTTATGACGGAAGAACGACGCTGAAGAAAACACTCTGTGCACACAGCTAGCGGCTAGCTGTCTGTCCATTACCTCAATCACATTGTTAACCACAGCTGTGTTTACAATCGCGAATGCATGTGGTTGGAGGCGCAGTGCAGCGACACACTTACCGGTTAGCCTATGAACGGTGTGGGTTAGGTAGTAGGGTGAAAATGGCGGAATAAGTAGCGGTCTGTCTGTATTGGTTCAATTTAATGTAATGTTTGGTGCCAGGTTGCGTTTATTCCCGTTAAACGCTGATGCCAGGTACTATTGGCTGTATGGGGCCAACACAGTACGTCACAGACTGACTGCAGCTCCGCCGCTTTTACGCAGCACGCACATCATTCAAACTGTGTGCGTCCGCCATCTAGTGGCGTGGTGGCGAACTGCCATAAATAGACCTCAGTTTATGCTGAGAAGCAGCGTCCTCAATTCGTTTGCCTCTGTACGGCAGTGGTGTACTCTGATCTTTGACCTCAGGAGAAGTAGCAATATCTCAGTGTAGTAATATTCTCTTACAAGTAAAAGTAATGCATTCAAAATTCTACTGAAGTAAAAGTATCAAAGTAGACATGTATTTTGAAAATTATATTCACATTATTATACAAATTATTATAAACTATACACCATGACATTTTACTTAAAGTACAAAAAGTAAAAGTACACATTTCCTACGAATGTATATTATATTATTGGATTATAATCATTAGTATATTAATGTGAGCATCACATTAATGTAAAAGTACTAAGTTACTTTCCAACACTGGCAAATGGACTTGTAAAATACTTTGATCCATGGAGTAACTCTTTCTTCTTTTCCGTCCTTGCCATTAAGACAAGGAAACCCCTTCAGAAAGAAAGATCTGCCCCTTCATCCAATCAGCGCCGGGGCTCCACGACCAGCAGCCAATGATGAACGTGAACATCGTGCTGGACACATCCCAAGGCCGGAGCCCCACCTGCAGGACTCAGAGCAGCCGGGGCAGTATGTGTGCTCTGTCAGTAGGTCAGCAGCGCATCTTCACCTCTGCCAGCGCTTCACTTTCATCACTGACTACCAGCCATCATGAGGGAGATCGTGCACATCCAGGCCGGCCAGTGCGAGAACCAGATTGGTGCAAAGGTAAGAAGAAGTAGAGAGAAGTTATTAACTCAATTAACTCAACTTTTTGAAAGAGGCCCTTCTGTTGCCGATTGCTTTCACTGTTTCAGAAAATAATTGATAACAAAAATTCAATCAACTGTTACATTTTTGTGTCTTCCAAAACTTAAGAAATACATTTTGTATATAACGGATAGAATCAGATAGGACCAGTAACTGTGCAGCCCCATTGTTTGCACTCTATCCCCCTGTTTCATACACTCTATTTAATGGGTCCATCTTTCTCTCATTTATCTTCAGTATGACTTGTTTAAAAGTTCATTTTTTTGTATCAGACACAGTAAATGGTTTACCACAACCCTGGTTGAACAAGAGATATGTGTATATATACACACAGTTGTGTGAAAAAGTGTTTGGCCCCTTTCTGATTTCTTAGCATGTTTGTCACACTTAAATGTTTCAGATCATCAAACAAATTTAAATATTAGACAAAGATAACACAAGTAAACACAAAATGCAGTTTTTAAATGAAGGTTTTTATTATTAAGGGGGAAAAAATCCAAACCTACATGGCCCTGTGTGAAAAAGTGATTGCCCCCTAAACCTAATAACTGGTTGGGCCACCCTTAGCAGCAACAACTGCAATCAAGCGTTTGCGATAACTGGCAATGAGTCTTTTACAGCACTGTAGAGGAATTTTGGCCCACTCTTTGCAGAATTGTTGTAATTCAGCCACATTGGAGGGTTTTCGAGCATGAACCGCCTTTTTAAGGTCATGCCACAGCATCTCAATCGGATTCAGGTCGGGACTTTGACTAGGCCACTCCAAAGTCTTCATTTTGTTTTTCTTAAGCCATTCAGAGGTGGACTTGCTGGTGTGTTTTGGATCATTGTCCTGCTGCAGAACCCAAGTGCGCTTCAGCTTGAGGTCACGAACAGATGGCCGGACATTCTCCTTCAGGATTTTTTGGTAGACAGCAGAATTCATGGTTCCATTTACCACAGCAAGTCTTCCAGGTCCTGAAGCAGCAAAACAGCCCCAGACCATCACACTACCACCACCATATTTTACTGTTGGTATGATGTTCCTTTTCTGAAATGCCGTGTTACTTTTACGCCAGATGTAACGGGACATACACCTTCCAAAAAGTTCAACTTTCGTCTCGTCAGTCCACAGAGTATTTTCCCAAAAGTCTTGGGGATCATCAAGATGTTTTCTGGCAAAACTGAGACGAGCCTTTATGTTCTTTTTGCTCAGCAGTGGTTTTCGGCTTGGAACTCTGCCATGCAGGCCATTTTTGCCCAGTCTCTTTCTTATGGTGGAGTCATGAACACTGACCTTAATTGAGGCCTGCAGTTCTTTGGATGTTGTTCTGGGGTCTTTTGTGACCTCTTGGATGAGTCGTCGCTGCGCTATTGGGGTAATTTTGGTCGGCCAGCCACTCCTGGGAAGGTTCACCACTGTTCCATGTTTTCGCCATTTGTGGATAATGGCTCTCACTGTGGGTCGCTGGAGTCCAATGTTCCCCCTGACGACCAGGGGGAACATTGCATCAAAACCTCGTCAAACATTTGACTTAATGTTCTTGCCTTTTTTTTTTTTTAACGATACAATAAACTTGTTAACTTCTAAATAACAACTGAATAGGAAAATAGTAAATAAAGAAAAAAATAAGTTTTGAAATCAAAAAGGAAACATTTCAAATATTATTTTTTTTTAAATAAGGGATGTTTTGAATGCTTTTAACTACATATTCTTAATTAAGACTGAGTTTAGAGTTAATTATCCACCAATGTGAAACTTTCTAAGGAGGCAGAGACGTTTGATGGAAAAGAGTTTGTTATTTTTTCCGGGAGAAAAAGGCGCAGGGGTGCATCTTCTGATCCTGGGGAGACCGCTGGGAGAGGACGGCCCCGACTCCAGAATCCGAGGCATCCACCTCCACAACAAACTGCAGAGAGGGATCAGGATGAATTAATACTGGGCAGTAGTGAACAGCTGTTTGAGGGAGGCGAAGGCAGCGTCAGCCTCTAGAGTCCATGTAAAGGGAATGGCAGTGGAGGTGAGTTGCGTGAGAGGGGTAGCCACCCTGCTGTAATTGCGGATAAACCGTCGGTAAAAGTTGGCAAACCCCAGGAACCGCTGCAACTGTTTCCGAGTGGTGGGAGTAGGCCACTCTGCCACTGCCTGAACCTTTGCTGCATCCGCCCTCACCTGCCCCGGCTGGATGATGAATCCAAGGAAACTCACTGTGGTGACATGGAATTCACATTTCTCCGCTTTTACAAAAAGCTTGTTCTCCAGTAGTCGCTGTAGCACTAGCCTGACATGCTTGATGTGTTCCTCCATGTTCCGGGAGAAGATGAGGCTGTCATCAATGTAGACTAAAACGAAGTGGTTGAGCATGTCACGGAGGACATCGTTCACCATGGCCAGGAACACTGCCGGGGCGTTGGTGAGGTCGAAAGGCATGACCAGATACTCGAAATGACCTAGAGGGTTGTTGAAGGTGGTCTTCCATTCATCTCCCTCCCGGATCCGAATGAGGTGGTAGGCATTGCGGAGGTCCAGTTTGGAGAAGATGGTGGCTTTGAGAAGGGGCTCACAGGCGGGGTCAATGAGAGGATACTTGTTCTTGATGGTTACATCGTTGAGACTACGATAATCGATGCAGGGACGAAGGGTGTGGTCCTTGTCCACAAAGAAGAACCCAGCACCCACCGGAGATGAAGAGGGTCGGAATAACCCAGCTGCAAGGGAGTCGTGGATGTACTTCTCCATAGCCCCTCTTTCAGGACGGGAGATCTTGAAAAGGCGGCTGGAGGGCAAGGGGGCACCAGGAAGCAGGTTGATGGCACAGTCATAGGGCCGATGAGGGGGCAGTGTTAGGGCTCGCTGCATACCTCCCCCAAGTTGTGGTAAGTGAGTAGCACTAACGTGAGGTCAGGGGGCTCAATAGTGGGTGTTGCAATTACGTTAGTGGGAGCTGAGGCTGACTGGAGACAGTGAGAGTGGCAAAATGTGCTCCAACTATCTACAGCCCCTGTGGACCAATCAATGTGAGGGTTGTGACGCTTAAGCCAAGGTTGGCCGAGGACCACTGGAACATGTGGTGAGGAAATTAAGAGTAGTTCTACTGACTCGTGGTGATTACCGGACAGGTGAAGACTTAGGGGAGCTGTGTGGTGAGTGATGTGAGCCAGGAGTTGTCCATCCAGGGCGTAGACCTCCTTGGGGACAGGAAGGGCTTCCGTGGAAATTCCAGCTTGTGCGACGAGGGTGGAGTCAATGAAGTTCTCGTCTGCCCCTGAGTCAATCAGGACATGAAGTGGGATGGATTCTCCCTTCCACGCGAGTGATGCCTTCATCTGTCTGCAGGATGGAGGGGCTGAGGAAGAGGTGGAGGTCTGGCTCATCAGGACCCCTCCAGTAGCTGATGAGCCTAGTCTCTTTGCAGGAGGGAACAGGAGGCGAGGTGGTCGAACGCTGAGGGGCGGTCCGGAGGCTGTCCACTCTAACCCGGGGAGCTGCGTGAGGCTGACTGTAAGAGGTGGAGGCTGGTCTGAAGCTGGTGTGCTCTCTATGGCGCTCACGGAGGTGGTTATCTAGGCGGATAGACAGGGAAATTAGGGAGTCTAAGCTGTCTGTCTCCTCTCTCGTCGCTAGCTCATCCCTGATATTCCCAGCTAACCCGTAGATAAAAACACTCTGCAAGGAAATCTCCTCCCACCCACTCTCTATAGCT